GAAAAGAAAGAAAGAAAAAGGGAAAATTAAGATAAAACTCAAACTGGTCTAAAGCATATGTGTAATATTTGTGTTTGTTCTTTTGTTCTTTTTTCTTTATAGTTCTGAATGGGAGTTTGAAGGGCCAACTATCATCTATTGTCCTTCCAGAAAAATGACAGAACACGTTACTGCTGAACTTGGGAAACTAAATTTAGCCTGTGGAACCTACCATGCAGGCATGAGTTTTAGCACAAGAAAAGATGTTCATCACAGGTTCATGAGGGATGAAATTCAGGTGTGGACATCAATCATCATTTCTTTTTACGCCCCATAGTTTAAGTAAATGTTCCTCAAATATTTACCACATCTCTATTAAATACTTCGTGTTGAGTGTATAGCAGTCCCTCTGTAAAGGGGATTGGTGTATAATGTCAGGGATAGATGTAGAATAAACTGTTGCAGACTAATATAAATAGTCTGTACCTGTTGCTTAGGGAGCCCTGGCGCTGTCAGGGTAGATTGTGTAATCCAGGAAGATGCAATTTGAATAGAGTCAGAATGTATAAATAGAAGTTTGTACAGTTTACCAGGCCAGTCAGGGATAAGAGCAGTGAAGTTTGTTGTAGAATTCCAGGAAGAAAGACAAACAGGTGCAGACTGTGACCTGATAATGCACAGGAAACTATCAGCGGTTTAGAAAGGTGGGGGGAAAGATAGTGTGGAGTAGGAATAGTATAAAATATAGGTGAAGAGGGAGTGTGAAGCTGTTAGACACTCACAGGGAAAAAGTTGAATGAGTTGGCTGGCCAGGGAACAGGTAGCTTTAAAAGGTGCAAAGAGGCAAGCAAGTCTTGATGTCATATTTCCATAATTTCTTGACTACTTTAGCCTTGGAATTGTTAATCTAACTGAACTTTTTATCTAATAGGTAAAGCAGATTAAAGTAGAATAATTCTGGTTGAAATTGGTGTGAGGGAAAAAAGAGAATTCACAGGCCTCCCAGGAACCTTATAGTCCTTAAAGGGCCACAGAATAAAGTTTAAATATTATTGTTATTATTATTTACTACTCCATTATGTTTTTGAGCACGATGATTATGACTATAATGAGGCAGGATCAGAAAATACAGTGAGTATGTTAGCCAAGTTTAAAATTTGTTATAGTCAGAGCACATTGCCATCCATTCCCCTCAAATGCCCTCATTCACTTCAAACACACTGGCCCCAGTTCTGGACGGCCTCTGTCGTGAGTGTCTTCAGTCGTGCTGCTGTGGCTGGGTCAGTGTCCTGAATCTATTCAAACGTTTACCTTTTACCTTAATTCTGACTTTGGGGAAGAGCCAGAAGTTACACAGGGCCAAATCTAATGAAGAAGGTGGATGGGGACACATTGTAATTTTTTATTTGACAGAATTGCCGAAAGTGTTTTAAATCGATTCAAGGCATTAAGGCAGTCACGAAAAGATACTCACTAACAAGGACTTCTAGAACTGCTTCTGAAAGGGGCAAGAGTGATGGGATTAGTATGTTCAAAGCAAGGAGGAATATTTGCAGGGGATTAATGACACTATCTTTTCCATACTGTCATACATTGTTTATTTGTATTTAAACATTCACTGTAGGTTTTAATCACACTTTGTACAAACAAACTGGCAGCACTAAGTAGGATTGAGGTCAAGGTGAAAGTGTGAACAAGGGAGGGGTGTTGATGAAGTTACTAGATTAGTACTAGGGCTGAGGTTTCTCAAATGGTTGACCTGATTCAGTGGGTGTCATAGACGATATCTGCTAGGATTTGAATTCAGGTCATCTGAGTAGATTTAAATCAGCAACGCGACATTGTCAGCATCATCTCTGTAGTCACACAGTCACTTGAAATGTGTGCAGTAGCCCTTGAAGAGATGAACTTAACTTTAGCTCTGACATATTTATCTGTGTCCAGCCCCTCCTGTGATAGGTAGTTGTTGTCCACCTCAAGCCAACATTGTGCAGCTTCTCTTTTACGTATCATTCAGTGTTGTGTCTATAAAATGCACCCTGCACAGTCGTCCTGTAATGCTTATCTGCCCCAAAACAGCTATTCTTTCCACGATAAAAATCATTTCATAACTATATAGAGATTTTACCTATATTTGTGAATAGTTTTATGGATAAAATTTATAAGCTGCTATTAATGCATCTTAATAGTAACCCTTTTTCAAGCCATTAACAGACCAGTGATTTCTTCTGTCTTGAGCAATTGCTAGTTATTTTATTTTATTTTATTTTATTTTATTTTATTTTATTTTATTTTTTGTATTGTGTTTGTCGTATGAGAAACCATATGATTTTCAAATTGTTTTTATTTTTGTCAGTATGTGTTTGCAGTCCATATTACATTCCTTGTGGTGAGTTGGTACATGTACATAACTCATCTCAATTCTTTTCTCCCCCTTTTCTCTCCACCTCCCATCAGATTACTTACAAGTCCTTACCAAGTTATCAAAAGTACAGATTCTCAGCCAGACTAACAGTCAGAAAATCATAAAAAATACATAAGACAGTTACACTAAAATCAAGGTACATGTTTAGATAAACTGTCCATGTTGAATAATAACATTTCTCTTTTTTTCCTGTATCTGTCTTTTATTTTGTACTTTATTGACATACTAGGTTTCTCATATAAGAGAAACCATGTAATATACAAGCCTGTATGTCTGATTTACTTCATTAATATTACGGTCTCAGGGTGCATCCATTTTCCAAAAATGAATTAATTTTTTAACTAAAACATCTCCTAAAAATATGAGAGAGCACAAACTTTATCCGGGTTATGTTTTGATGGCTGATATTATTAGGTACGTCTGGTTTTCCTTCATTAAAACATTAATATTTTGAAATATGGCTTAAAAATCCTCACAGTGATCTTTAATTATATCTAATTTATAGAAGGGCTTTTATATATGTGTGTGCTGCTCTATTTTCCCTTTCTATGACAAGATGTTACAGATTTTTAGCTACATTATGCAGATTAGTAAATTTAAATTGATTATTTCACCCAGGCCAGTGGTGGTGAACCTATGGCACTCCTGTTGCAGTGGGCTCTTTGTGTCATTGAAAACTCTAAAAGGACCGCCTTCACTAACCTGGGCTGATAGTTAAGTTTGTCTTGTAGAGTCTTTCTTTGTCTTTTTAAATGGCTCAAAAGTGTCACATTTGCATTGAAAAGTGTCACTTTCTGAAGATGATGAAAATACATTTCATCCTTATAGAATAGGTCGGTGCTCTTGGAATTGAGTGCTTGTCATTATTTATTGTCTGCTGATTGCATAAACATACTGAATTCTAAATACTCTTTCCAGTTTTTTTAACAGTCCATACTTCAGTTTGAGCTTAAAAGTAGAGCTGATCTCGTAATGAACTCTCAATGAGTGATGCTTAGAAACTTAATGTTTTTCATCTTATAACTTAAAAAATAGACTTTTATTTCCTCTTATAACCAAATCCAACCACATTTAGATGCTGAATAGTATTTTTAATCTGTGACCATTCATTCTTACATTTAATCCTTAGTTTTGTATCCTTTTGTATTCTCATTTGCCCTTTCAAGATGACTTAAATTTGTTTCCCTTCTAGAATGAAATTATGAATAACTTACTGATAAACATTTTTATTTATACCTGAAAGTTTGTAGGGATATTTTGAAAATAAAATCTAGAATTAATCTCATCTAAAAATAATATGGTTAGAATTATTGTATTGTTTACTGCGGCTTAAATAAAGCTAAATTGCCCAGACTTCTTTGCCCAAAACTTTCACTTATATTCACTCATGTAATTTTCTCTCACCTTTCTCATGTATCCTTTGTCCATCATCTTTCTTCCTTTTTTCTCATTTATCCTTTCCTTTATTTCCTCTTTTTTGCTCTCCTAGTTCATCTTAGCCTGCCTCTTTTTCAAAGTAGCACTTTAATTTTTATTACAAGTAGTTCTGCCATGTTTTCAGTGAAAATCATTTGTCCCTCATTCCATCACCATTTGTTGCCCATCCCTGACTCTGAGTCTGTAGATGGTTACTGCTGTATCCTGCTGTGATGTGTATGCACTGCTGTCATTTAATTTTTTACTAATTGTAGGCATTATTTATTGACTCTACAATCTGCAGGACAGAGGTTCTGTCACTTTCACATTCTGTACTTTCCTTTTCTCACCCAATCCATGCATTTCTGACCTTCTTTCCTCCCAATTTATTTATATCATAATTTTAGTTAGATGAATGTTGAAATTTACACAATTTATAAATGCTTTTTACCTTTAAACAGTGTGGGTACTAGTGTTCTTTTGCTTGTCTTTTTGTATTTTTATTGTTAATCCGTTATCAGGTTTTTTTTTTTTTAGTTTTCTGTGTACTTATTACTAGTTCTTCCTTAATCTTTCCCTGATCATGTAAATCTTATCTCTTTACATTAATACCTGTTAGGTAGTTTATCAGTTTTACCCTTTTAAATATACAGAGATAAGCTTATGTATCACTATACCATCATTATTGAGAAACTTGCATCTTAGGATATTGTTAGAATAAGGTATCTGCAATCAGATATGACATTTAGAACTTCATAGTAATATAAAAGTTTTATTTAATTTAATATAATACATATTTTAAGAACCTTTTGTATTATCTTAAACAATGTTCAGAGACAGACACCCTTTTATCTGCTACTTTTTCTAGAGAGTAAATAGAACTCCCATTTTATGTTCACCAATCCTTAATCTATAAATTGGGCAGATAATTTTTTAATCTATAAGTGACTGGATAAAATTATTTAAATTCAGTTTTATGCTAGGGACTTGAAAGAACATATTATTAATTTTTTCAGAGTTTCAGTTCTGTATTTAGTTTGTCAAACTGTGCTGTTATTTCTTCTCAGTGTGTCATAGCTACTGTAGCTTTTGGAATGGGCATTAATAAATCAGACATTCGCAAGGTCATTCATTATGGTGCACCTAAAGAAATGGAATCTTACTACCAGGAAATTGGTAGAGCTGGCCGTGATGGACTTCCAAGTTCTTGTCATGTACTCTGGGCTCCAGCAGACTTTCACTTAAATAGGTAAAAACATTTATTGCTTTCACTTTGCTGATTTCTCTTTTTCATGAAAGGATTTGAGGCACGAACTTACATGTATGTAATTTGTGAGTGCATTTACAGTCCCCCTTCAAATCCAACCCCAAACAAAAGACAGAGGATATCTGTGAAAAGAATGTATGATAAGTGCTGCCACAAAGAGATGACCTAATCTCCTTGCTCAGTTGGTGTGTGGAATTAACTAAATCAGGGCTATACTTGGTATACTTAACTGCTATTGTGTATCAGTGAACAGTTTTCTTTTTTTTGTAGATCCTCTCAAGTTGTAATATATCTTCAACCATAGTTATTTCAGGTATTGTTATGATTGTTGAGTCTTCTCATGTTACAATAATAAGTACTTTTCTAAGATCTTTCTACCAATCCCTACGTGGGTGTCTTTACATTCATTTCTGTAGTGAATTTCATGAGAGCATCCCAGCTTTCCTCAACTATGAAAATTATTGAATATGAATAATCATGTTATAGTGTACTGAAAGATTACCATAACAATGTTGTCTAAGTGTTTAAATTCAGGAAAATCGTTCTACTTAAGCACTAAATAGATTTTTTGTGGCACTTAAATTCTTTGATATTAGAAAGGCAGTATCAAGGGACTGGAAAGGAAAGCTTTATCTTGCAAAAATTTAGGGAAGAATTTACCGATTTATTCTTTCATTCATCAGAAGGAACGAAAACCTCAGGAAAAGGGGAAAATCTGTACCTGTAACATGAGCTTGCCAAAGTGAGGCTATTTTAAAAATATACCTTCATGCTGCTGAATAAGTTGAACTTTTTCATGGGTATATTAATTATTTATGATGAGTGAGTACCTACCCAATACAAGTTTTGTTTTTCTTCATCATTCATCAATGTTTTTTGAACGACCACTGTGTTCTGAAAACTTGCTTTCATAGAATAAAGGGAATAATAGATCTTAATTAAAAAGTCATACATTTGTGAATATGTAGGGCTCATCTTATACTTTTTGCATTTGAAAATTTTAGTGATCAAATTTTGTTATTAAAGGCACCATGCAAATATGTTTGGTGTTATGTGTTAATATTAAAGAAGTTAGAACAGTTAAGAGCTATGAAGGAAAATGTACTGAGTGGAGTACATAAAGGCAGGTGATCTTTACAAAGTTGAAAATGTCATGTGAGGCTTCCTTGAGGATATGGTCATATAGGCAGAAAGAATAATAGAGATTAGTTAGGTAAAAATATTTGCTATAAATTTTAAACTCTTTCTAGAAGTTATCAGTAACTTTTGCTTCTTAACTTAAAAACAATAAAATCATCCTTTTCTTACACAGAACAATTTTTTTTTCTTTTTAACATCAATATCTCTCTCAAATTTTTTATGAATTAATTTAAAATAACTGGGGTACAGCATAGCTGTGCATGGTATGTTAAATCTGGGATATATTGCCTATAAGTTAATTTCTACCAGTTCTTATTTTATTTGTATATTACCCTGGTTGCCAAAGACATAAAACAGCTTGAATTTTATACTGTGGCTTTGCAGGTTCATCAGTAAATATTTCCTGATTATCTGGACATACTAAGTGGTGGTTTCATTAAGATTTAACAAGAAGTAACAGTGATTAGTAATCATATATGGTGCCAGAAAAATCCATATAATCATCATATATGTAGTATTTTTAGGGTATTGCATCTAGGACTGCTGAAGGTGCCAAATTCTGAGGATGATCCCTTATGTAAAATGGCATACTGTTTATATATAATGTTTAGATTATTTATAATACCTATTACAATGTAAATGCTATGTAAGTAGTGGTTTTATCTCACTGTTTAGGGAATAACAACAAGAAAAATGTACTTATTCAGTGCAGATGCAAACATTGTAAGCTTAACTGCACTTTTGACTTGAGGGTGGTTGAGTCAGTGGCTACTGAACCTTAGGGTATGGTAGCCCAACTTCTTGAATTTCTCATACAGACAAGTTATTTTTATATCAGTGCTAAAGGAAATAAAGTTATAGGATAATAGGATAAAAAATTGAGCTTTTAGGATAGATTTGTGTTTTCCTGGTGATAAATTTTTTCTAGAAAAAATGAAGTTTAAAATTAAATGAGGCTACTAACTCTCAACTGAAATGGTTACTAATTCACAAAAGTTATAGAGTCTATTTCATGATAAATTTCAGTGACAAAGAAATTTGTTAAATCGTCATTTAACCGTAATTTTATTTCTATTTATTTTGTGATTCTGGGAATTGAATCTAGGGCCTCTCCCATGCTAGTCAGTTTCTCTACTACTGAGCCATACTCCAAGTACTCGTTATATGATTTGATAGTTCTTATTGCAGAAGCTGCACCACAGGCAAAGTCCTAGTGCTCACAGTTCTCTTATCTTAAACAGTCAAACCCAATAGATGTGATCTTTTTAAGGAAGACAAATTTGCAAAATGATCATTTTGGTATTGTTTTTAGAGTTTTTATTTTTTAGGTACTCAAAATTGTATTTTCTCAGAAGTGTGAATACTGATGAGATTATTTAAATGAAGTCACTTAAACCGGATATATGAGATCATCTAGTTTTAGGAATGTAGGTATTTGTTTTCCTTGTAAATGCTGTCTGAGGAGAAGGACGTGAACTGAACAAGAACACAGTAAATAAAGCCCAAAACAAACAAACAAAAACTCATATTTACCCTTGAGCCAGGAATAGTGAGATGAGCTGGATGATAAACCTAGGGCACAGAGTCAGCAACTGGAAGAAAATGAGGTGGGGGTGGGGATTACATGGAAGGGAATAGTAGTTGATGGCATTAAGTTACAGGAATGTTTCTGAATAACAGATTATTTAAAATTCCTAGAGTTCCCTGAGAATTGTACAGGGATTATTTTGATCAGTCACAAGGTTGGATAGGTCCTTTTGATTGGGATCAGTGTTATCACTTAGATCTTTTAAGTACCTCATTTTTGTACTTTTGCAATATCTGAAAAACGGTTCTACCCAGATTTTTATTTTTCCTTGGAGAGGTATGCAGAAGTATTTGGAAGATTTTCATTATCTGATATTTGATAGTCACAGAATTTCTTCACAGAAAACTAGAAATGAACAGTCAGGATGAGTTAGAGCATCAAGGCTTATGCTGGAGTGATGTGCCTTTTTTTCACCATTTTTTTATATAGGTTGAATTCTGTGGAGGACCCTGCATGACTGTCCTTGAGGGAGAAGCAGTTGTCTTCATTTTGGCTCAACCGGGCCCTATTTCCATGTATTGATGTGTGCAGAGCTGACTGGGACTTTTCCTTATCCTTTGAATTGGCTTTAAGCAATGCAAATTGGTCCAGCCCAGGGATGATATGTAGTCTTTGAAGCAAAGTGGACAGGGCATTGTTTCCTGCCCGACCCCCTTTACTCCCAAATGAAATGTGTGAGGGGAGCAGTGCTCCATTCCTTCACCCGGGATCAAGCCTCGAAATAAGAGGCTATGACTTCCCAGGGCATAAAAGATCACACATCAGAGCTAAAGCGCAGACCTCAAAACATTAGATACTGTCTCAGTTGTTTGATGCATATTATTTCTTCTGCATATCCTTCTCTGCATGTTGCAGAGGTGATTTCAGGCCTCCTATATAGCCCAGCTCACAGCACTCACATACTTCCTGCCATTCTCACAGTCACTCATCCTCAAGCCACTCCTTTCTTCACGATTAATAAAACCCAGGTTTGGCCCTGGGTGGAGGCCTTTGTTCCAGTTAGCCATCATTGTAGCTGGACTTAGGACCCCTTGGCTCCCCATAACTACAGATGTGCCTTAGTGTCTTTATTCTTACCATGGGGGGCACCGGAAGTGGTAGATTGGAATTAATTCTCTAGAATTCTAATAACTTTTCCATAGGATTACAAATATAAACTTCCTGGGCCACGACGAAGACTGGGAAGGGCTCTTTATAGAATTTCTCATAGAAAATAAATATTTTAAATAATAAGCTTTTCCTGGGGAAAGGTCATAATTGCTGTATAACAGAAAGCTTGCAAACAGTCAAAAAACTATGTGTCGGGGGGAGGCACAGCTGGGAAGGTGTACAAGAGAACTTTCTGGGTGTAAAACAAATGATAGAAGTGTGGGTTTTAAAAAAAACTAATTAATTAAAAATTAACAAAATTCCTAATAGTTTTAAATAATCCTGTGATATTTTTAATTGACAGGCAACACTTTATTGAGATACATAATGAAAAGTTTCGATCATACAAATTAAAGATGGTGGGAAAAATGGAAAAATATCTTCGTTCCAGCAGATGTAGGCGGCAGTATGTATATTGCATTTTATATCAATTAATAGCATGGGTCTAAGAAAATGTCTTGTTATTCATTATAAGTATTTTGAATGAATATTATATTACATATGTCCTAAAGTTTTAACCACTTACCAGTCCAATTATTTAAATACAGGATGACCAAAAACTACATATATTTTGTTAATTTTTTTTTTTTTTGTACTGGGGATCAAACTCAGGACCCTGTGCTTGCCAGGCAGGCGCTTGCACAGTGAGCTATCTCTCCCGCCTATGTTAATTTTTATACAATAACAGGATGTATAAAAATGACAATTTTATCAAATTCATATTTTATATATAATCATTTTTCAATGTATGATATATCTTAAAACATTCAATACACAATATAGCATTGCAGTTTGGATAGTAGTATGTAGTCTTCGAATTCTTTTTGCATTATTATTATTGTCTTTCTTTCTACGACATATTTTACACTGTTGTGTTAGTCTTTCGTTTTTTTCTGGGGGTAGTATAATTTCCGAAAAATGTCTCCCCACTAAACGTTATGGTGAAGACGTTAATGATGAATGTGCTGGTTGGCGTTTCACTATCAGGTGCTTTTCAGTTATTTGGTCTGTTAGACCTAATTTTAAGTTGTAAATGATTTTTTGAACCCCCTTGTTATGAATAAATAATAAATGAGTTCCATATTATTTGGTCCAGAAGGAGCATCAGTATTTTATAGTAATATTTTTTTCCCACTTTGTGATTACAAGGTAGCTTGTTAGATGTGGGTCAGCTGTGTGTATGTCCCCCATAGAATTTTTTTTTTTTTTGTCTTTTTGAGGCAGTGTTTTGCTATGCAGTTCAGGCTCGCCTTGAGCTCACATTGTAGCCCAGGCTGGTCTCAAACTCACAAATATCCTCCTGCCTCCCAAGTGCTCCCAAGTGCTGGGATTACAGGCGTGCGCCACCATGCCTGACTCCCCCATAGAATTATAATCATTAGACACTATTGGAATTTTTTTAGTTTCATTTCTTCTTTCAAGTTCTATTATTTATGTATTATGAATAGTTGACAATAGGGAGACATGTTTTTGTTTTTCCATTTCATAACACAGACTTTTCCTCTCTGATATGCTAACATTTCTCCCTTTTTTCAGTTTTTTGTTTTGCAGATTTTTTGGTACTTCTTTTCTGTTCAGTCTCGGTATCCCAAACATGTCTATTCTGTATTGTAAAAGACTATCATTAGGTTCTGGAGAAGTATTAAAATTATATCTAATGTACTTACAATAAGCATTTTCATAAGGGCTGGGGTATAGCTCAGCAGCACATCACCTGCCTGGCAAGTGTGAGGTTGTGAGTTCAGTTCCTGGTACCAAAAAAAAAGTTTTTATAGATTGTAGCGGAAAACTATAGGTTATTTTTCACAAATAAAATAAACCCAGATTAGTAAAAGAAAATAATCAGAACTGTTTATTAGATTTCACTAGAAGCACAGCAAAGGTGAATCCAACATTTAAATTAAAAGGTATGCAGAAAACAGTTTGTATAAAATAAACACACATACAAGTGTATCTCATGCAAACAAGAATCTACTGGTGCCAATCACACTGGCCTGAGCAACGCTCGGGGCAGTCAGTATAAACTGTTTAGTGGATAAGGCAGTTTTTTGTTTTTGTGCGTGAGTAAATTGAACTCAAATACTGTATTGAATACCAGGTAAATCAATTAATAATGATTTCACCTCATTTTTTACAATGAATTTAGCAAATGCATATATTTGTTCTTTTATTTAATTTAAAATTTTCCCTGGATAGGATCATCTTGTCTCATTTTGAAGACAGAAAACTACGAAAAGCCTCCTTGGGTATTATGGGAACCGAAAAATGCTGTGATAATTGCAGGTCCAGGTAAATATTCCTTTCTGATGACATTCTAAAAGTCTTTTGTGTCTCTTTTTTTTTTTCAGATATATTTAATTGAATTTTTGTTGAAAGTTTTTTTGAACAAAATAATGAATTTATTTAAAATTTAAAAAGTGAATTATTTAGATTATTTTCCTGTTTATAATCGGTAATAAAATTGTGGACCTAAATCCAAAGATATCAATAGTTACATTAGCTATAAATTATCCAAAAATATCATTTAAAGGCATAAATTATAAAAATTAATTTTTAAATGTGATTATATTTTATATTACATAGTTTAAAAAAGGAATAATATCTCATGAAAACACTAACTGCTGTTTTGCTATTGGCAGTAGAGAGCAAAGAATGTTACCAGGGGTAAAGAAGGACATTGCATGATGTAAAAGAGTCAATTCAAGGATTTATCAGTCGGGGCTGTCCAACAAAACGGGACCAGTGATTGTGTGTATGTGTGTCCATGTATGTGTCTGTGTGTAGAGGGAGAAGGAGGAATGGTTTGATGCAATTGAGGTTTTTTTTTTTGGTACCGGGAATCAAACTCAGGACCTTGTGCTTGCCGGGCAGGTGCTTACGCCACTAAGCTATATCCCCTGAGTACCAGCTGAGCACCCCAGCCCTAGAATTGAGTTTTGAGGAATTTGCTTAGATAGTTGTGGAAGTTGGTAATCTTAAATTTTCTAAGGTAGGCCAGTATCCTGTAAACTCAGGCAGGAGTTTATGCTGTAGTTTTTAGGCTGAATTCCATCTCCAGCTAACCTCAGGTTTTGCTTTTAAGGCTTTCAACTGATTGGGTGAAATTACCCACATTATTGAGGGTAATCTTTATGTCAAGTAAAATGATTACAAATATTAATCTCATCTATAAAATACTTTTGCAGCAACACTTAGTGTCTGACCAAACAACTGAGCACCATTGCCTAACCAAGTTGATACATAAATTTAACCATCACAATCAAAAAGATATAGTCTTAATAGTATATACATTTAACAAAATAACTTACAGAACTGAAAGGAAAAATGAAAAAGTCCACAATTACACTTGATGACTTCAGCATCTTCTCTTAGCAACCAGTATAACTAGTAGACAAAAAACAATACGAAGGAGAAAGGAAAAGGACTGTTCAATGAACTGGATCTTATTAATTTAAATAGAAGAATCCATGCAACAGCAGCAGAGTACACATACTTTTTAAGGGCATATAGAACATTTGTGAAATGTCAATCTTTTTCTAGGTCATAAGACAAACCTTAAAAATTTTAAAATATTCTGTTTGGGTAAAATATTTTTTTTTTTTAATATCATGGGGTTAAACTAGAAAGCAATAACAGGAAGACAAGAGGAAAGTCTCCAAACCATTGGAAATTAAATAACACACTTTTAAATAATCTGTGAATCTTAAGAGGAAATCTCAAAGTAAGTCAGAAAAATTTTTCAACTGTATGAAATAAACACAAAGTGTGTAGGATACTGAGAAGAAAATTCAAATCATTAAATACATTTAAAAGAATATAGCTATCAAATCAGTCATCAACTTCCACCTTAAGAAACAAGCCTTTCCTATTGGGCTGTGGTCAATGCAGTGGTTTCTAGTTTCTGTGTCCCTCTGTGTGCCCTAAGTCATGGCTTTCTCCACCTTGTTTTGTGTGTGTGGATTTGGGAGGTACCCTACCCTCCTCGAGTTCTCTCTCTCTCTACAACCCAGGCTGTGCCAAAGTATATCCCTGATCATGCTGGTAAATGGGGAAAGCAAAAAGATTACTGAGCTCTGTGCTGAACGTAGGGAACGTGGTAGAAAGGTCAAGCAGGCTGTTGGACTTAATGCTGGCACTTTCAAACCCAGCCCCCTCCAATAGGCACTCATGACTGGTGTGGCTTCTCAAGTTGGAAGGTTGGACCCCTGTCCTTCTCTGGCCTGACCTTTAACTTCTCTGGGAGTTTATGCCCAGCTTGCTCTATCTCCATGACTATCTTTTATGGCTGTTTTCCACCCAGCCACTGTGGTAGGGTCACCCCAGAAACCTGAAAGTGCTATTGTTCTGTAGTTCTTCTATTGCCCAGTCTTAAAACAGTCTACCCTCTTCTTTTTTTTTGTTTTTGTTTTTGTTTTTGTTTTTGTTTTTTTTTTGGTTTTTCTCCGGTACCAGGAACTGAACTCACGACCTTGCGCATGCCAGGCAGGCGCTTTTGCCGCTGAGCTAAATCCCCAGCCCCACAGTCTACCCTCTTCTAAAATGGCTCCTGATTAAGCACAAATATAGTGGGCGCTGCTCTGGATATCTTCTCCAACTCAAGCCTGCCATGTAAAAGGAGTTCTCTTTTACAGTAAAACCCCATGCTGAATTTGCACTGTATAATGACCATGGGCTTTTCTTGGAGCTAGTGCTGCTGGCTTGATCCATTGTTTCTCCCTGGGGCTGGTGGTCCTCCTTGGGCTTACCTTGTATAAGCAGAGACAGGTGCCCTTTCCCGGGAACTGGGTGAGCTTTCCAGGCTGCTTTGTCCTACTCTGCATTGTGCTCAGTTTTTCTATTTTCTCTGTCATTTCCCAGTTTCTCTGTCAGTTCCTTCCTGATTCCCAGAGAGCTGCTTTTTTTTTTTGTTTTGTTTTTACCACGTTATTGTTTTCCAGGTGCCTCAATTCCAGGTCCTGGTGAGGCTGTATTTTGCTGCTGATCTTACTCTGCTATGTTTAGTCCTCTTGTATGTCCTGGTTTTGGTGAAACTTAGATGTATCTATGTGTATGAGCCTATAGATGTGTTAAAATTTGTAGAACTTTACATAAATACAGCAAATTTAACTGTATGTTTATTAAAAAAATAAAATAAATGACATTATCTACTTGTGTTAGCTGTACATCTGGGTGCAATAGCTGTTTTCATGTAACACAAAAGGAATGTTATCAGGGATGGAAATGTTTCTGTGTAATGGTAAATGGTTTTTTACCAAGAAGACATAATTGTTTTATGCACTAAAATAAAACAAAACAAAAACGTTTCCCAAATAAAGTACAAACTGACATGAGCTGGAAGAAATCAACTGTCATAGTGGGAGAATTTGATATAATTTTTAATTATTGGTAAGCTAAGCAAGCTGTCAGAAAATTAATGGGTCATAGAAAATTTGATTGACCTATTAACAAGTTTTATTTATGAGGTACGTGGTATACAGAACCTTCTACCAAACAATTAGAGCAATATATCTCAGTTTTTTAGTTCATGACCTACATGGCAAATGGTAATTATTTGTATAGCATACTGGGCTAAGGATCAGAGTCCAGATTCAGTCTAGAGTCTTTTTTTTTTTGGTTTTTCTCCGGTACCAGGAACTGAACTCACGACCTTGTGCTTGCCAGGCAGGCGCTTTGCCGCTGAGCTAAATCCCCAGGCCCAGTCTAGAGTCTTAAGGTCTGGAGTAATGATCCTTTTGGTCCACGTAGGATATATTTGCAACACCCTGATTAGGAAACATGCCTCTTTATTGTGGCTGCTTGAACTGAACAGTTTCTTGCAAAGCCTGTTGTGATCCACAAAGCCTAAAGTATTTACTGTCTGGCCCTTTATGAAAGAAGTTTTCTGACTCCTGTATGAGATTATAGCTTGTTTCAAAAAATGTTCACTGAGATGTTATCCAACTCACCACATTCTCTGTGCAGAATGTGGTTGATTTAGAAGTAAGGAAAACAGCTAAAATAATTTTCATACATCTGAAAATTAAAAATCAAACACTTTAAAATAATTTAAAAATCAAACTGGAAATTAAAAATATTTTAGAATACAGTGATAATTGCAATAATATATATTAAAACTGGTAAAATAGTACTTTATGGGTATTTGGTAGCTATAAAGCTTCCTATTTGAAGAGAATATTTATCAACTAAAAATTCTACTAAGGAAGTTAGGAGAATAAAACTGAATGTAGTAGGGTTTTTTTTTTCCTCCAAACACATTATTTTATCTGGAATTTAAAAATATTCTTATTGACATTTTAAAGATAATTTTTTTTTAAGGAAAGTAATTGGATCAGGTACTTCGTATTTATTTGATTTTCTTTAAGGATTCTTTTTTGTTTTCAACATAAAGAATTCTCATTTGTATTAATGATAATTTCAAATCTACTTGAAGGATGACTTAGGAATTTAACTTTTAAATGTTCTCAAAAGAAAGATTTATAATCTTTGTGTCATATTTCATAGTCTTTAAGGTTTAAAGTATCAGTTTACTGCATAGGAGATTTGTTTTTTTAAGTTATAAAACTTTTTATTTTTTGCAGTAACTCCCCCACCTTATTTTTTTTTTCTAACAAAACCTAACACAGTGGTCTAATAGTTATATAACCGATCAAGTGCTGCTGTTCTAGCTGTAATCTAGCACCTCTGCTTTCTTGAACCTGGCTTCTAGAGCATGAGAAGAGAACTGTTGGCACAACATCCTATAATGACAAAGTTTTTTTTTCATTTTTTAGATATTTCACACACTCTTGGCTGTATGAACTTTGTAACTTCTGAAGCAGTTGGCCCCTTTTAGATAATTGAGCAGTTGGCACTTCTGAGATAATTGTTGCACTAAATCTTTTAATTTCTAAGGGTTCCTACTTTGTCTGTGCTTTCTTAATATATTATCTCTTTTATAGACTGAATCATTGCTATTCCATTAATGATTCTGATGAGACATCACAAGACTTCGGTCCACAAGCATTCCTTCTGTTATCTGCTGTGGACATCTTGCAGGGAAAGTTTGGAATTGGGATTCCAATTTTATTTCTCCGAGGATCTGTAAGTATAACTGTGAATGACCTTCATGGATTTTTTTCACTCCTACTATACTTTCTTGAGTGTTAGCTTTGTCTGTGGATGAGTTGTTGGAAGCTCAAACAGTCATATTAAGTTCTATTTAAGCACACCATTCATTACTTTTGACACAACTTGTGTGTATCACATCTCCTGCTGTTTTGATGTTCCAAGCTAAGCTCTGAATCTCAGTCTGGAAGCATTATATTGGTTTATTACGTTGCATTTGGGTAAAATCCTTAGACTTTTTTTTTTTTTTTTAGGATAATTAAGGAAAGTTAACTTTCATTGTATCAAGGGACTAGTTGAATAAAATTGTATCTTTTGGTGCCTAGGAAACTATTAAACTGTTTGAGAAAAACATTAGTTTCAGGAATTATTTTGTAAGTGATTAAATTCAATGACAATGTTGGCAAGACTTTTTTCTTTCTCCTCATTTCTTACTAGAACTATTTAAGATTTTAAGGAAGTTTTTTTTTTTCTTTACCAATGAATAGTTACTTTAATTTAACTACCTTTTGTTTTGCAAAGAGAAATTAATGTGCTAGCATTATGGTAACAAACTACAGAAACAAATAAGACACACTTAAAGAGCTTTTTTTTTTGAGACTTTGTATATATGGTTTTATTATTGATTTAGAAGTCTGTAAAGCAAAGCTAACTGATTCACCTGATTGGTATTAGTTAAACCAAGCATGGAAGAGAATGTAAATATGTATATTTGTTAATAATATTTTAAAAATAATTTAAGATTATTATTTTGTATATAGAATTTAAAAATCATTTAGGTAAACACTTGTTAAATTTGGAAATGCCCCATGTTAATATATTTTGAATATTTTGTTCAGAAAGCAACATTAAATTAGCTGAGAAATATTTTCAATGAAATATGTTGGAAACATTAACTTTTCAGGTTCTGATTTTTTTTTTTTTTTGCACTGGGGATTGAATTTAGGACCTTCACACTGAGCTATATCCCCAACCCAAGTTTTACTTTTTATTTTTAAGACACTGATATGTTTAGATTCTGAATTGAGTTTAAATTTTTGTTTGTCAATCACTAGTTTGATTAGAAATTCAGTAGTAGAATTATTGCCTAAAGAACTTTGTCTTATCTGCTATGAATGATGCCATATATTATAAAAAAGAACTTAAATCACAGGAGACAGCTTACATATAGTTGAGATCTGTAAAAATTTCTTCTTTTTCACCTCAAAACCTGTGTATCCCAGTTGAGTGTATAGTTTATAAAAATTATTCTTGTTTTAATTTGATATAATCTAGCCATATCCAGTATCAACAAATAAGTATAAGTGGGCTCCTAGAAAAACTTGAACTGGTCACAAGAGGGATCAGATTTCACCTATTATTTGAAAACCAAGTCAGACTTCTTATACTGAGTCTTCTGGGAGTCCTCAAATTAAGAAGTTTATGTTTTGTGAAATTTTATACTACCCTTGCTAGATAAAAGTGTAAAACTTTTTAAAAAGTACCACTTAATGAAAATTTGTAAATACTACCTGCAGTGAAAATGAGATATATCCCCTCTCCCTTCAATGATCATGGTATCTTTTGGGATATTGTTTTAAAAATTAGGATTGTAATTCCTTTAAGAATTAGCAAATGTTCCCCTTAGCTAATTTGACAAATTAATATCTTTGTAGATAATTTTGATTCATAAAATGATGTGTCTGAAATTGTGCTCTATTGGAGTTTTTTAAAAAAGAAATAATGTATAAATATATAATATGTAGTCTCAGTAATACATGATTTTACTCTTATAGAGAATATTTAGAAAAATAATACACAATTGTATAGCTTATTCATAAGTTTGTAAGTGGAGTTTAAAATTTTGCTTTAAAGCACATGCATGATTAATTATTGAACAGTAAACTGTCACCTAAAGAGTTTCATTTTAACTGTGTAATTAGCTCACCATGTAAAAATCTTTAAACACCTTGTGTGAATATGTGACAAGAAGCATGATGGCCTTAACTTTATAAATTAGAAAACAGAAATACAATCATGAATTTGCATACTGGAATTAAATGTAACATCTTTTCTCATCACATTTAGCAAAACCTTATCACAGCCCTGGTACCACGTAACACTTTGTAATTAAAATTTTTATTCAATTAATTAATTAATTTTAATTTTATTTATTTTTTGCTGTAGGATCTCGCTAAGTTGCCCAGGCTGGCCTTGAACTTGATTGTGCTACCTTGCCTTATTAAGTAGCTGGAATTATAGGCTCTATCAGCATGCGCAACTTAGATAACACTTTTTTGTTTGTTGTCGTCGTCCCCGTCCCCGTCCCAGTCCCTGTCCCCGTCCCCAGGAATTGAACTGAGGACCTCACGCTTGCCAGGCACATGCTGTGCCACTGAGCTAAATCCCCAGCCCCTAGATAACGCTTTTGATAAAAGATTTTTGGACCTAGAAAAAGCTATTGGAATTCTTGGTAGTTTTAATCTCCCTCTATAATTTTCAAACAATCTAACAGGAGAAGGCTTTCCATTTAATTTTCTGAAACAAGAGATTTCATCTGGTTGAAATGTATTTCTAAAGATAATTGTTGTTACTTTATCCTTTGATTTTTATTTTGCATATAGAATGAATAGCTCAGAGTGACTTTCTGAAGCTGTAAAGTGGCAGCTGTGGGCTTCATTTGCCTGTAGGAACTGGGCAAGAGAGGGGAAAAAACATTTGACGGAAGCTATGGGCTTGTTTTATACCTTAAAACTTAGAAATTTAAATCTTCTAGAGTTGTAGTGTTTTTAAACACAAGTTTTATCACTTTCTTAATAAAGGTCCCCCCAATTTTGTCTGAATAAGTCTGGTTTTTAAATTGCAGCCCACATACTGCCCCACCTTATTATTGCCTTTTAACTGTTTGGTTAGTTTTACATGGTAGCATGACCAATAGTCCTTTTTAATAGACACTTCCAACTAATTAAATAAAAATTAATTAAAGAATTGCAACTGTTTTCAGGCTGGAGAAGAATACTGTAAGGTGGTACTGTGTACAGTTTAGCAGGATGTCTAGACTTCATGCCAGGGACCTTCATTGGTTGGAGCCAAATGTTGATGTACATTAGTTGAACTTTATAAGTTTTTATACTAGTTGTTAAACATCCATTTTTGCGTAAGGCATTATATTGTTGTATTTTGCTGGTGATCCAGTGCTGAATTAAATGAGACTTATCATCTAGTATAGGTGTTAGGAAGAAAAAAAATTATATATTATAGGAGATAAAGTACATATAAATAGAATTGAAGCATTATTAAAGTTCTGAAGAGAGCATGTGTAGGGAAATTAGAAAAATCCTTGTGAAAATACCACTGTTGCTTTTTATTTTGTTGGGGACATAGTAGATTGTAGCAGGGTACACTTGTACATTCAGGGATGGAATGAGGAAAGAAGTGGAAGAAAGTGTCACTCACAGTGAAAAGAATTACTACAAAAAGCAACTGTGACTTTTAAGGAAATTAATTGGAGAAGTGGCAAGTTTTCTCTCCCCTCTCTCAACAATATTCTCTACATAGTGATTACCATGGCAATGACAATATTAATTATTCACATAGTACACAGTGTTCACAATGAGTATTGATCAAGAAAGTAAAAGAACTAATATCTAATTGGTAGTCATATCTAATATCTAAGAACTAACATCTAATTGGTAGTCATTCCCTACCAATTAGAAAGTCTCATTATTCTTTACTAGTAAATGTGCATATTCGCTTCAGGTTTTTTTCAGTTGAGGAAGGGAAAAGTGATAATTTTAGAGAGCTAGTAAGTGGTAATTTGGCAACTTAGTATCTTTGGTGTTACTAGTTTGCAAGCGATAGAATCTCCGCTCCTGCTACAAAGGTAAGTAAACTCTTAGCAGTTCATAGGACCATGAGCACGTGTCCCAGGGAAAACAGACTAGATGATGTTAGGTTAAGAAATTCAGAATTAGTTAAGGTTTCAGTAGTTAACTAATAAAAAGGCTGGCTTTATCCTAGTTTTTTTTAAAAAAATAGTAATGTATATTAATGAAAGGTCTAAATAGCAAGGATTAAGTATTCTAATCACATACATAAACCTGTATATTGAGAAAAGCAATTTGAATTATATATCAGACTTTCTGTCATTATTTAAAACAAAAAGAACGTAACACTCCTTATTTGTGATTTGAGTGTTCAGAACAAGTGGAATGGGTATAAGTTTTTTCTAACTTTTTAAAGCTGGGAGTGGTAGCATATACCTCTAATTCCACCACTTGGTAGGCTGAGGCAGGAGGAGGATCACTGTGAGATCGAGGCCAGACTGTACTACATCCTGAAACCTTATCTCAAAAAAAATGTGTGTGTATATATATATATATATATATATATATATAATTTATATATGTTATATATATAATATATATACACACACATACACACATATATGTATATATATATATAGAGAGATACACATATATATATAGAGAGAGAGAGAGAGAGAGATTTTAAAGTTGAAATTTATTGTTAAATCCAAAGGATCAGTAGGTAGGTTTGTGTTATACTTAGCCTTTTTAATTGAATAAGCATTTTTAGGTACTGATTTTATTCCTAATTTCAGAGTTCTCAGCGTCTTCCAGATAAATATCGTAGACACAAGCTTTTTGGTGCTGGCAAGGATCAAACAGAGAGTTGGTGGAAGGCCTTTTACTGCCAGCTCATGACTGAAGGATTTTTAAAGGATGTTCCTGGTAGTAGCAAATTTATAAAGATGTGCACCCTTACAGAAAAGGTAAACTGAATAAAATTCTATGTGTTTGACATAATTTTTCTCAGTGTGTATTAAGATTTTTCTTGCCTTTCATAGGGTAGGAATTGGCTTGTTAAAGCCAATAGAGAATCTCATCAGAGACTTATACTTGAAGCTAATGAAGAACTGCGTCCAAAGAAGTTTCTCCTGCCAAGGTTTGTTTATCAGTTTCTTTTTTTCTTCCCACTTTTGGATTTTTTTTTTTTTGGTTGTTTTGTTTCAGTGGTTCAAATTATAATATTTTAGAGGGACCTCACAAGTAAAATCTGTTGCTTGCTTTATTTTGCATGCTTGTTTTAGGCAGTTTGGGAGAAAGGCGCTCTGTGAAAAAAATAAATCACAGAACACTTTCTTGGTTGAATGCTGAAGAACTTGTGTACTGAGTTTCTTTCTTATGTATGGGAGGTGGGAAGGGAAGATGCTGTTGGCTATTTTTTAGTGCCTTACATGTTATTGATCATTTGTTAATGTTTTTTTCTTTTAAACTTCTTCCTTTTCTGGGAAAAGAAATCAGTTTTTAAAATTATCATTTCTAGAAGGGTAAAATAATATCATCTACTTTCTGGGAGTGAGGATATGATGATTCATGAATTAGATAATTGCATTTTAACACCAGAAATAATTTAATTTTTCTCTTTTTCAGTTCTAGTACTGTATCTTGGGGCACTGAACATCATCCCTCTAATCAAATGTCAATTAAGTTAACTGCCGAGGTTTGTATTAAAGAGGTGGTTCTTACTTGTTTCATTCTTCATTGGTGCAACTCTTGTTTAAAAATTTTATGTTTTAAATCCCCTCCAATTTAAGGAATAATAGCACATATAATAAATCATAAGTTAGAAAGAGAAGTGATATGAATAGAGTAAAATATGATTTACTTAATTTTTGGAGCCAATAGAAAAATTGATAGTATTTGAGAAAGTAACTTACTTTGATTCTTTTACACCTTCTTTGTAACTCACTTGGCTTGGAGTTTTTATGCATTATGATACTCATAGTTGACAGAAAAATAAGGCTTATTCCTAAATATTCTCATCGAAGCCACACGTGTTTGCATGTGGGTGTGTGCATGCTTTCTTGTTCTGTTGGGATCTCAGGGAATGGATTAAGTACTTACCCACATGCAGACTTCAGCTAGTGAGAACATGGAAAATGGACAAGTGTGGTAAATTAAATTTTCTGTCCAGTTTTTCTGCTTTATTAAACTATGCAGAGTGTAATTAACTCAGTTTTGTAACTTGGGCCTTGCTGTGTCTCAGAGCATTCTTTTGATTGTCTATGTTTATGGCTTAGGGAGGAAGGGGACTTTGAGTTGTATTTTTATCTACTCATATGATCTTAGTAGTGATGCCTTAAGAATTTATTTTCAGTTGATTTATTTGGTGACCTGATTAGTTAGTGGGAAAATTGTAACTGAGATTTTTGTATCTTTTTTGATTAATACTTAAACATTTTATAAACTTCTCATTTTTTTAATGGATCTTTATATGTTTAAAAGCAGTCTAGCTTGGAGAAGATGTATTCTTACAAAGCACATGATAAAATTTCTTCTGAGATTAACGTTCCTAGAAAAAGGTAGAGTTTCTGACTTTTTATTATCTATGCTTATGTTATCAGCGCTGTTTCTCTTTCTTTTCTAAAGAGAAATAACTAGCAGATTTGGCCTATTTTATTGGCAAAACAATATTTTAAAGTTAAAGTGTATCTAATACTACAGTTATTAAAATGAATGATATTATTAATAGGGAGCACTTCTTGGCGTTGTATTTTGCCAGGTTCTATGTTAAATGCTAAGGATTTTCTATGTAATATCTCATTTAATTTGTGCAACAGCTGTTGAGTTGCTATATTATTAATCTGAATTCTATAGTTAAAGATACCAAGGGTTAAAATGTTAACTATTCTGTTCCAGAGCACCTAACTAATGGGAAAGCTGGCTTTCAAAGCTATATTTGTCTACCAGTTTATATGAAATATATACATTCCCACCTCATTTTCAAAACAAGTATTCTGGTAACATAAAATAATAAATACAAAAATTGATAGAGGATCAAGGCAGGCTAGTTAATGTATAATTAAGTTTACTGTTTAACTCAGTGACTTAAAAGTGTAGAACCTACACAGAATTCCAGAGGTTTGTGGATGGAAAATTTGCAAAACATGCTAGGGCCTCAATTATACATTAATGAGCTATATTTACATTCTCATCAAGTCAAAGTAAATGAATGTGCTTTCAGATTGTTATGCATTTTTAATGCTTTGCTCACTTACGTAATGCTAGTTTGCATCTGACAAAATGTTTATCATAATACCAGTTTCCCACTTCAAATCATTTCTTTTTTTTTTTTTTTTGGTTTTTGGTTTTTGGTTTTTTTTTTTCCAATACCAGGAATCGATCTCACGACCTTGCGTTTGTCAGGCAGGCGCTGTGCCTCTGAGCTAAATCCCCAGCCCCTAAATCATTTCTTTTTGTTTGGATATATGGTATTACTATGGCTTTATGTAAACAAAACATTTGAGGAGCGTACAAAATAATATATCCATTCATTATCCTGAGTATGTCTTCATTTAAACTTTTACGAGGCTGCTGCTTTTAGTGCCAGCTACCATTTTAGGCATTGGGATTAAGTGAAGAATATTCAAGACACAGTCACTGGCCCTTAGGAGGATTGTACAGGACAGGGAGTCTAAAACTACAATTCAAGTTATAATATTTTGGAAATAATAGAAAAGTAGGCATAAGCATGACTTCCCAAAAGAAGGGATACTTGAAGCTTAAGTAGATGTTAGGTGGTGTGAGGGTAAGTTTTTCAAGCAGAGGAAAACTGAAAGCAAGAGAAAGAATGATATGATTGAGCAACTCAAAGAGTATAGCTAGAGTTTGCCTAAATAGGAAGTGGTAAAACTGAAGCCCGGAGAATTTTTGTGAAATAGTTTAAAAACCATTTTGCAAATAGCATATTAGTATAAAATTTCTGTAAATACTAATAAAGATCAACATTTAATTTAAAGTAAATTTATTCTTTTCGTTTTTGGTAGAGAGGTTTGAGACAGGGTTTCCCTATACAGTTCAAGCTGGCCTGGAACTTTGGTGATCTTCCTCCCTCAGCCTCCTGAGTGCTAGGATGACAAGCCTGGCATTATTTTCTTGATTAACTTGATATTACTAATTCTTTGAATGAGAACTTTATTTTCCTCAGGCTAAAGTCTGTTTATGTCAGTGGTAGGATTTGATAACTGTGAAAATGAAATTTTATTTTACGCCACAGTTTCTGAATTTGTGAAATTACAAATATTTCCTTTTTTCTTTTCTTTCTTCTTAAGTTTTTCCAGTTCTTGGGCTTAAAACCAAGCCTCACAGATTGTAGGCAAACACTCTGCCACTGATCTACTTCCTCAATCTCCCCGCCTTCCATTAAGATTTTTAAAAAATTCTTTTTGAGACAGGGTCTCACAAAGTTGCCCAGGCTGACCTCAGTTTGCAGTCCTCTTGCCTTAGGCGCCCAAGTAGCTGGAATTACAAACATGCGCCACCACAGTGGGCCTACAAACATTTTTTAAGTTCCAAGATCTTTCTTTTATCTTCAAGAAGTAGAAATTTATTTAGAATTGGTGACTTTTGTATAGACTTTTATACAATTCCATTTTTATTACTCTGTATTTACAGTTATTTTACTGATGAGAAATGCCTTTTGTAGAATATCTGCTTTGCTGCCCAGCATCTTTTTTTTTTTTTTTACTATATTTTCTAATTGGTTGTATTCTCTCCCTCCTTTAAACTACTTCCTTTTTAAATGTTGGAGTGATTTTAAAGAAATTGTTGCATAATTTTACTTTTTGCTAATGTTCTCACTAACCAAAAATTAGTAGTTTCACAGGAGAAATCATGATTGTGTCTCTGTTGGTGAAAAATGTTATTTAGTGGATGGGGATTATTTTCTTTCACTGCATTTGGTTGAGGAGGAAGAGATAGATGCTTTCCTTAAACATGCCAGTGTTCTGATGGGCTCATATTGCAGTTTTATCTTTACTATTATAGTGAATAAATTTGATCCAGAGGGTTTAAAGTCTATGCTGTTGCCATTTAGGGAACCAGTTGCCTTAACCAGTTGGTATTGTGAAGAATAAATGTTATTGTGGGAGAAATATTCTCATTTTGGAGTTGAAACTTAAAAAAAAACTAGAAAAAGAGAAAGCTTAATTATTTATTTCTTTAAATATTTTAGTATCATGATGCAGTTACCAAGAAACAATTATGGTTCCTCAGAACCTGTTATGTCAGCCCAGGACCAAAAGATCCAGGTAAGGCTTTTTGTTAAAAGGCAGTTAGTTTTTTAGAGGGTTGGTAGTATTCTTTGCCTGCTTAAAATTTTGTAGTATTTTAAAACATTATTCTTTAGTTAAGAAACAGATAAAATTCAGTTTATTTTCATCTCAATGGAAAATAGAAAATGTAATATCTGAAGGTCTAAAAATAAAGGCTCAGTTTTTCTAAGTACATTAAAATAATGCTCAATTGTTCCTTGATTTTTTGTTCAGACTATATTGTATGGCAGATTAGTAGAAGCTAGGCAGAGGCATGCCAATGAAATGGATGTTCCTCCAGCTATTCTGGCAACAAATAAGATATTGGTGGATATGGCCAAAATGAGGTAAACTATCTCTTTGTGTATATTTTGGTTTGTTTTCCTTTAATGTAATAGATTGTAAAATATCTCATTATATAATAATCTGGCCATGGCTTTATTTATTCCATGTGTGAGCTGACACCCAATTCTCCCACACAGCTTTGCAGATCTCTTTGCTGAGCTTTAGTCCATGTTTCTGCATGAGTAAAACCATGTTTTTAGCAATCAAATTATATATAAAATCAATTTCATTATCCACTCATCCTCTAAACATACATTTCATCTAACCACTAAAACTTTCTGGAATTCCTTGTTTTTTTTTTTTTAGTTGTGTTATCATATTCTTAATCACACATGTTTAAAGTCTGTTATCACATCCCTAACATATATCCCCTTCTTCCTCTCAGTTTTTTTATGTAAATATTCTTTGTGTATATCTGTCTATGCCTTCTTTGCTCTTCTTAGTGACATTGTATTAGTTCAGACCATTTACCCTTGACCTGTTGCAAAAGACTTTTAATTGGGCACTCCCCAGTCTTGCTGTGTATTTCATCTGATACTTGAATACTGAATTAATCTTCTTTTATCTTATCATACTTCTGCTGAAATGGTTTCCCACTGTCTTCTTTAGCATAGAATTCCAAGCATCTGTGCTAATGGATTTAAGTCTACTCGTGTGCCTAAGTCACAGAATTTGCAATGATTTATCTTACCTGGATTGTTTAGCATTTATAGAAGGACCCCCCCAGCCCCATTTCAACTTTCATATTTTTATTAACAATGTTGCTTCTGCCTTGTAGTTTTTTCTTGGTTCCTCAAAATTTCTCCTAAATCCTTCAGGATCTAGCTGTATCACCATTTCCTCCGTGAATCCTCCTGCTGACTTGGATCTCTCTTGAATTCACCTAAAGATGGTCCCGTGGAACTCATGCAATGCCTGATTTATTTTCCTTTGTAATTAGTGGTAGATATGCGTTATATCTTTTAGATCTTAAACTCTTTGAATAAAGATATAGTTCCTTATCTTTGTGTGTCTTCTGCAGAATCTAGCACAATACCTAATAAACACTAGATGGTCAGTAAATATTTAGAAGAAATTATTTCCAAAAAGTAGATGCTGGATTATTAATTGTATTCATTTTTATCTTTCCTTTTGAAAATTGTTTATATTACTAAATTTCATTTAAAATGTTACTTTTGTGCAGGATTTTCTAATAATACTACATAGTGCTCACATCCTACAATAATTATTAAAAAAAATACTGTATTCTATGATCACACTTTAATATTCAAAGACAGTATGTAAGGAAAAGAAGTAATCATTAGATTGACAGAGCTGTAGAAAGAAGATAATGTATGGTCTTAGATACTGGGCACCATAAAGAATTCTGAGCTAAATGCCTGGTTAGCAGATTTACTGTTACAGGTAAACAGTTCTTATGAAAAATAATGAATGGAATTTTCTTCTGAGTGTTTCTTGGTGGTTTATTGTTCTCAGTCTCATCACTTTTCATTTGTATGAAAATAATAAATTTGCTAATAGAGTGGAACAACAGGCCTTTGGCTGTTCCTTTCTGATGATGGCATGTTTATCAATTACAGCAGGTACTTTCTTGTATTTTTGTGCTTTCAGGAGAGGAAAGCAAAGAAAGAAATTATGAGATGTAATTATTTGTATTATGCATTATTTTTGGTTGTGGATTGGAAATAGATTTATGAATTATGAATGTGAAGCTGAATTGCCGACATGATACTGTTTGAGTGGTTTCTTAGCCTTTTTTTTTAAAATGACAGACCAACTACAGTTGAAAATGTGAAACGGATTGATGGTGTTTCTGAAGGCAAAGCTACCATGTTGGCTCCTCTGTTGGAAGTCATCAAGCATTTCTGCCAAGGAAATAGTGTTCAGGTAAAATACTATAGTGTACAGGAATTTACCAACTCAAAACACAAGATCTTTGCCATTTATTTGTGTTTTCATACTGGACTCTTGAAAATGGATTCGCACTATTGTTTTTACAGTAAATCAGTTGTAAAAACATGTTAGTTATCTTCTTTTAAAGATAATGCTAAAGTAATTGTCCAGGCAGCTTGTGTCTATTATATTGAAAGGTTTTATTCTTAGATTTGGATAAGTATTATATTCTCAGTTAATAAATTGTAAGTTTTTCTTTTCATTTGACATACTTCTTATCTATTAATTATATTTCATTTTATTCTCTTCGGTTTTCATACTGTTTTCTTCTTACCTTTTTATTATTTTTTACTCTATATCAGTGACCATTTTTACAAGCGTCCTTTGGGCTTTTTCTTGAACTCCACGTGCAGATCATGCTGTGCACAGAAGATGAGACTGGTGAGGTTGTGGAGAGCCTGTGCACTGGAGCAGGGAATTAAGATTTCAGTTCTGTGGTTTGCCTGGTGAACCTGACAGGTTTATTTCCTGCTTCTGGGTCTCCATTTGCTCTCCTGCACAGTGGAATAATGCTTTCTGCCCCATGTGCAGTGGGTAACATTAATAAGATAAAAGACATGGGGTGCTTATAAAAAGTTGGAAGAATTAAAGACACCCAAGGCAGTATTAAAGGATTGTCTTTCCCAAGAACTTCCTGTAAGCTTTGGGCAGGCACAGTGTAAGATTCTGCTTTAGAAAAACCCTCCTCTAACTCGAGGTAGAAAACTATGCTACTTTTTGCATGTAGCATTTCCTTTTTTGAAATAGAGTATGTGTGGTAACTTTATCAAAAGACATGTGGAAATTCCTCATATTGCATATCAGGTATTTGGAAAATCAAATAGTAATGTTTTGATGATTTGATAAGGACTAGCATGCCTGTGGTGCTACTTGAATATGTCCCTCTCTTTGGACACTTAGTGATATCTTCTTTCATAAATTAGTGGTATTAGTGAATAGTGAATGGATTGCTGCCCAGCTCCCCCTCCAGAAGAGGAGACTGTAGGAAGCTAGAAGTTAAGAGCTCCAAATGACAGGTGTAAAAAAACCATTCTGCACCTTATGAATAGAGAAAATGCCTGTTTGTATCCATGATTAGTAATTATTCTTAGATTATTCTGCATATTGAAATCACTTATAATAGAAATAAATAACCATTAATGTTGTTAAGTCAGTCTTTTTTTTATTCACCACTTTCCTTAAGCTTTTAATGTATTTATTTCAAATTTTGAAGTGAAACTTCAATACTATCAGAATACAAATCTGAAGTTACAAATAAGTACTGGAAACGGTGGTGTGTGCCAGTGGTCCCAGCTACTTGAGGACTGAGGCAAGAAAATCACTAGGGCCTGCAAGTAGGCAACATAATGAGACCTCATCTTAAATAAATAAAGAAAATTTAAAAGAAAAGTAACAATATGTCATGGGCATTAAATCTCCTAAGATGGCCTTTTAGGAAAAATATGCTAGAATCACTTTATTGAAATACATTTTATGAAAATTATCCTTTTAAGTGTCTATTCCTCCTTTTTTGTGAGTTACAATGGTAAATCCAAAAGATTTCAGGATTTCTGGAACAAAATGCCAGTATCATCTTTAAATATGCAGTGATAGGATTTAGAAATATTCAAGATACTCAGTAAAATAGTCCAAAGTAATAATATCAGGAAGGTAATGTCAGATTGTGGCTTTACTAAACAGTAGGCTAATTAAATCATATTCTACACAGATAAAAGACTTTGGAAGCACAGTGGCCAGTTGTGGAAACAAACAGGAAAAGCATAGGAAAAAAGGTAGGCAGAGCCTGCCTGGGCAGTTTTCAGATGAGAAGACATTTAGGCTAAGTAGATTTGAATAGTATGGTTTAACTGGCAAGAAGAATGCCTTAACCTACCTTTATTGCTATGGGACTACTTAAGACACTATTAGAAGTTACCATGTTAACACTCCAAGCTTGGTAAAAAAACCTCCAGGAAAGCTGGAGGAAACATTTATAGCTTAGAGATCCTGCAGGAGCAGTATTTTGCAATCAAGCAAAACTCATGTAATGAAAAAAAATTTTTATTAAACTCCATAAATGACAGGCTATGGAAACAAAAAGATACATTTCTTTCCCAAAGAAAAGCTTATAAAAATTCTCCCTCATACATCTATATATAATATAGTAGACCACAATGATGTATAACCTAATCAAAATGATACCAGTATTGTTCATCAAAGACTAGGCTTCTTATTAGTTTGTTACAAGTTATATTATCATGGCAATATGCTGTTTTTATCTGTCTTTTATGTGTGATTAACTTAAACCAGTTTTCTGTTTTCTTTTCACTATTTTCTTCAGGCTTTAAAAAAGTTCCAGTATTTCTTTATTCATCTTGTTTTTTAAATTTTTCCCTTTTTTCTCTTTTAAACATCTCTTAGGGAACTATATTTAAGATTGTACGTAATTCAGTTAGAGCTCCACTTGGGATGTATCTTTCAAAATTAATTTCGCTCTCTCTCTCTCTCTCTCTCTCTCTGTCTCTCTGCTATTGGCCATACCACCCTAAATACACTGGATCTCATCCGTCTCTTTCTGTATGTCATACATATATAAACATATCCATATAGATAATTATGATAAATTTCCTTATGATATATTAGCCAGTTTTGTTTTTATAGTACCTAAATTTGAATACTGATTCTTTTTATTCTTTCATTCAGTGTTTACTTCCACAGGATAGAGACAGATTGGTTCATGTTATAGTCTCTTTTTTTTACTTCTTGCCAGTGAAAGGCAAGACTTAGAAAGCCTGTTACAAATATTTTATTAAAACATTTTGCTTTCTAGCATCATTTTAACTTTTTAAAAAACAATATGTAAAAAAATCCAACTTCATTCTGACCTCCCCCACAAAAACCCTTTGTTATTTAAAAGTTTTATTTGGCTTTTTTTTCTGTATAGCCAGTAGTCACATACTGATCGATATGTTGATATTATTAATTTTTCATTTTGGTAGTATTATTGATTATCTGTGCTACATTTAACATCCTGTAGACAGACCTCTTTTCAAGTACGAAGCCTCAAGAAGAGCAGAAGAAAAGTCTAGAAGTGAAGAATGAAAAATGCTCCCTCTTACAGTCTGTGGCTATCACATATTCTCTATTCCAAGAAAAGAAAATGTCTTTGGTAAGTGTTCTTTGAAGTTACAGAGAATTTTTTAGTTTATTTAAACTTGTGGTTTGTCAGCTTTTCAATATTAAAGCTGTGACTTGGGATCAGTTTCTTTTAACCTGCAAAATGTCTCATTGTATCTTTAATTTTGAAACAGAACGTCATTTTCTTTTTCTGTTAAGCCTAGCTCTACCAACAGCAATAATAGCTTGACTATAATTTTCATATAGAGGTGGTATCAGAGTTACAGATAAATACATTTATAGCTTAGAGATCCTGCAGCAGCAGTAGTACAAACCTTTTTTTAAAAAAAAGAAAATGAGATTAATAGTTTAAAACTATTTAACAGTACATTTATATGTACTGTTTAGAAAGAATCTCCTGGGGCTCAGATGAAGTTTAGTGATAGAGTGCTTGCCTAGCATTTGTGAGGTCCTGGGTTTAACCCTCAGCACCACGGAAAACAAACAGTAAACAATGTTTAAGAACTCGAGGTGAGAAGGACTCCCACACCGACCAAAGCTGCGCACTGCTGCGCCCTTGCATCCAGCGCCCCAGTCACCGCCATGCCCAAGAGAAAGGCTGAAGAGAATGCCAAAGGAGATAAAGCCACGGTGAAGGACGAACCACAGAGAAGATTCACAAGGTTGTCTGCTAAGCCTGCTCCTTCAAGCCAGAGGCCAGGCCCCAAAAGGCCCCCGTAAAGATGGGAGAGAAGGTGCCCAAAGGGAAAAAGGGAAAAGCTGATGCCGCCAAGGATGGGACAGCCCTGCAGAAAATGGAGATGCACAGCCAGACCGGGCACAGAAAGCGAAAGGTGCTGGAGGTGCCAAGTGAAGTGTGTGCATTTTTGAGAGCTGTTCTTGTGGTGATTGTACAGTTTGAAATACTATTTTTTAATGAAGTTTTATGAAAATGCAGAATTTTGGTTTACTTTTTTTAAGCTATGTTGTTAGCATACCGTACACTTCACTGTTTTGGGGGAAAGGAGCATATGTCACTAATACAATGTCTCCAAAGCTGGATTGATGTGGGGAGAACACAACACTTTCCCTGCTAGTGTTGAGAGACTCCTTGGCTCCCAGAAAGGGGTTCCCTGATGTTGACACATGTGGCTACCTTGGCACAAATGCCTTGCAGTGTGGGAAAACCAGTTCATTTTTATGTCCTCCTCTCCTTCTCTTCCATCAGCACAGATTTAATTCCCTTAAGTCTGGAGACCTATTGGGACCTGACTCCCCACAACTGGTGTTACCAGTGTGTCCGGCAGTCTGGACCTGGCAGTGACGTTGAGAAGGTGTCCCCTCAAGAACAGCAGCTCCTTTACTAGATTGTGGGTGTTCAGATTGATAATTCTATTTTCATTTCATTTCCTGAAAGTCAAGAGTCATTTTGTGAAAAGTTATTAAACAGTATGCTAAATATGAAAAGTCAGTCCTCCCTCTAAACTTTGTCTATCAGAGCATCAAATGAAGACTCTTGGGTTTTATAGTGGCTGATTTTTGGTCATCCACCCAATAAGGAAACTTGAAAGTTGTGCACTGTTAATGATTGTGTGCCCATGTCCTGCCTGAAACATGATTGTTTATGAAAAGTTTCTTTAGTAAAGCTGGGTAGTTTGGCTTGGAAAAAAAGAGATCTTAAAAATTCATTAAGTTAAAAAAAAAAAGGTGAAAAAAAAACATGTAAGTGTGTATGTATTCATACTTTTACATTCCTTAGCTTTGTATATGTCTAAAAATGCAGACAGGATCTCTGCAAGGATATCCAAAAAGTTGGAAATACATTTCTAAAAAATTCACTCTGAATCTGCTAGCACTGTTTTTTTTTAAACTGTCCCAAATGCTCTTTGCAAAAATAAATAAATCTGTTCTTAATGAGGGCCTATACTTAATGTTTCTTCATTGTTCTAACACATATTCTTAAGACTGTTGAGGTTTTTTGTTTTTTTTTTTGCTGTAAAGTGGATATAAGTCCATAACTTATTTTACTTACTAATGTAACTAGATAGTCCAGTTCTTCAATTAAAAGTGCAGAGTCATTACTCAAGAAACCAAATAATTTCAGTAGAAAGTTGAGTTCTTACGTAAATGCTAACTTACTGTATATGTTAAAAATGCCTTTATGCATGATTAGAACTATCATTTTTAAGAAAGTTTGGTATGAGCTCTGAATTTTCTGAGTATTGTGCATTCTAATATTAGTCATATGTGGCTCCATATATTATATATTCATGATTAAAGATGTGAAGAATAATGTATCATCATTTTTGTCTTTTTAGCATTATTTGGTAATATTGTATTTTTTGATAGGATGGTTAATTATCTGTACTTCCTTAGAGTCCGAGAGGGTCTTGCCAATTAACCACAAAATTAAACATGCCTAAGGACTTATTAATCAGGAAAAATAATATAATTAGATTGAAGTAACTTGATGCCTGGTATCAAATAACCCTGATATTATGCACACATGGTGCCCACTTTCTGGTAGAGAACAGCAGACATTTAATGAAGGTAACTTAATATACTCTGAAGGATGAAGCTATTGCCTTACATTATCTGTTCTGTGAAAGTATCAGTATTCACACAAATTCAGTCTAAATTCAAACTTTCAAGATGTATTGCAAGAATATCATGAAATATTTTAGATCTGAGCTACATGCTCAGAATATTTTACCTAATATATCTTAAATTTGAAGTCACAGTTGTTTCAAAACCTGTATAAGTATGAAAACTTATTCTAAATTAAACCTTAAGTTCAGTAGTAAGACAGTGGTGACAGACCTTGTTAAAAGTGTAGTTATTATTTTATGAATAGAAACAACTTAAAATACCTATTAAAGTCTTCTCAAGGACCTTTTATATCAAGCATCTGGAGTCTTACATTATTACTACACATTTTAAAATTTGTCTCCTTGGAAATTCACATAACCAGAGCACCATGTGTTATTTCAAGCATACAGACTATTAGACTATAGCTCTATTTCCAAAAGGTTGCAACAACTGCTAGACTTGCATAGAATAATCTCTGTTACTTAAAAGCTTTGTAAAGTGAGTGGAGAGGGGTGAGGATTGAATAGTTGTCTAATGATGGGTGCTTTTGTTCTAGTCAATACAAGTATGGAAAGTAGAACCTGTGGAGGTCTCTAGTATTTAATGCAAATCTTAGGTGCAGGTTTATCCCATTGTTTTGTTCTCAGTAAATAGTTACTACCTGAGGTTTTGGTTATTTTTGTTCCATGAAGTGCAGTGGAAACAAAAAGCTCACTGGTTCTTTTGCTATTGTTTCTCTAGGACAGCATAGCCGAGTACAGGATTCTGCCTCTCACAGTGGTTGCCCTGCATTTAGTCCAAGCAGTGAAAGCGGGCTACTCCCTGGATATGGAGCGAGCAGGGCTGACTCCAGAGGTTCAGAAGATTATTGCTGATGTTATCCGAAACCCTCCTGTCAACTCAGGTGATAAACAGGGCCCTGCGCCATAGCATTAATGACTTGAATTACTGAACCCAGATGAAGTAAACACACAATCAGCTAATACTTTGCTGTTTAATGGCATCGACTCTTTATGCTGCTTTGAAAACTACTTTTTTTTTTTTGGTCTGCTGGTTTGAGGAAAACAATCTTTCCATTATCACTCAGAGGAAAAAAGACTGAAAATGATTTTTTTTTTTTAGCTTCATATTCCATCTTCTCTATCCTTCCCTAAAAAGGGTACATTTACTCTTTTCTAATTTCTGCTTAATGACATGCAAACGACACATTTTTGTCTGTATTTATTCCCAACAGCTTACTTACTGCCTTTGTTCCCTACCCTTTTTGATTCCTCATCAGTGATTTCACTTGAGTGCCCTCCCCAGTCAACCTGGTGCGTTGTGACATGGGGCAGAGGCCGAGCTCCGTAGCCCTTGGAGAAGGGTTTTCTCTTGGCCCTGTGCTGCAGAACCTCTGCTGTGTTCATTGAGGTGAATGAAGCCCCTTTGCTTATCCTGCAGAATTTTTTAAATTTTGAGACAGGATCTCCCTAAGTTGTTCAGGCTGGGCTTGAACTTGAGATCTTCTTGCCTCAGCCTCCCATAGTGCTGGGATTATAGGCATGTGCTACCATATCTGGTTTGTTGCAGAAATTTTTAAGTTATGGCCCATTTTTTACAGTAAAGTTGAAATATATTAGGAGATTTTCTCCTTAAATGCAGAAATGTAAATTTAGTGTGTTTCAGTATAATAAGTCTTCTACCTATTTTCAGAGTGTTAGGACAGAGCAGTGACCTTAAAGCCTTCTCTTAAGCTGTATGAATAATTACTCTTTGGTGACTCGTATTTTTTACCACATGGAAGCAACTATAATATTCTCCCCAAGAATTTGGAAATAAGGGAAATAAGATCATTCTGAATTCACGGACAATACTGTACTGTACTGGTCAGAGCAAAAGTAAGTCACCGTACCAGCAGCATTATTTCTAGGCTTGTGCAAGATTTGAGTGAAGGTGTAAAGTACAGGCATCTCCATTACTTCTGTTGATGAACAGTGGAGTCACAGGAGAAGGAGAGACACAGATAAGCTTGGGTGGCACTCATCCAAGATCCAGGGATGAGGAATGGTGGCCAGGGAGATTTCAGCTGTGTTAAACCCTGTGGATATGTTATGTTGTGATCATGTTTGAGAGTCTTCACACTTGATCTTAGCCAAAAGGCTGATAAACGATGAGAAAGACCCTTAAAGACCCTTAAGGGTCTTTCTTCTATGTTTTGTCTCAGCTTTCTGGTTGCTGTTTGATTTCCCATTTGTATCTCCCTATAGGGAAAGCATGCTGTAGTCATGCTAATTTGAATATATGATGATTGTGTATGCATAACTCTGTAACCTTGGTCAGTGTGGATCTGTTAAGGTTTCTGAGTTTGAAAACCAAAGGGCCGAGTTCTGGACTGTGTAGTTAAATATACAGGGGAATTCAGCTGTCAATCGCTTATGAGAAAATCAACTCTTCTGGGCATGTTGCAGTCTGACATCAGCAGCCAGTTTGCTAGAAATTAGGGCAGAAGGAGGGAAATAGTCATTACTTTGTAGGACTAGACTGTGGTTATAAACCTGTTTCTCCAATGCAAAATGACACAATGTTTTAGGAAAAATCAGATTCAAATGCTTTCTAGGTTTTAATACTCTGGAATTCTTTTTTCCATTATAAATGTTTGTCTCTTAAGAATCAGAAAAATATGTGTCTTGCTAGGGATTTAGCTCAGCGGCACAGCGCCTGCCTGGCAAGTGCAGGGTCGTGAGTTTGATTCCCGATACCGGAAAAAAAAACAAAAACAAAAACAAAAAAACAACAAAAAAAGAAAAATATGTGTCTTTTGATGAGATGTTGAGCAGTAGGCAGTATTCTCTGAAAGTCTGTGCTTTTTCCTTATTTTTATTTTTTTAAAATATTGACAGTCATGTTTGCTGTCATTTGGCTGCCTTTTCTCAAACCTAAAGGGCTGCAGGTGGTGTTAGTCTCATCAGCAAAAGCAAAGGCTCTGGCAGCAGATAGATCTGTGCTAAGATCTTGGCCCTATCATGTATAGTTAATGTGACCCTTGGCATATGAACCTAATGTGACCATTGGCATATGAACCTAGTCTTATTTCCTTCTCTCTAAAGTGAGGAAGGAGAACACTGCCTCTTAGAGTTGTGAGGAATAAATTAGATACTACACAGAAAGCCCTGGTCATGGTAAATACTCGGTAAATGGTGGTGGTAAAAGATGATGATTGAAGAAGTAGACGGGAAGATCTTACAGCATCTTAAAAATACCTTTAAAATGTGATTACTTTTATTCTCTATCCTTTTTAATAGTGAATTAAGATTATATGAAGTCAGTAAGCATATTAGAAGGAAAGTTTAAAACACTGCACAGTGGTCCCTTGTTATCTGTGGAGGGATTGCTTTCCCACATCCCTCCTGCTCCCCCTCCATGAATAGTAGATGTAGATGCTAAAGTATCTTTTATAATATATTGTAGTATTTTTATGTAACCTACACACATCCTCCTGTATACTTTAAATTATCTCTAGATTACATATAATACTACAATGTAAATACTATGTAAATAGTAGTTATATTGAAATGTTTATGAAATGACAGTAAAAAGTATGTATATGTTCCATAGAGATGCAAATTAAAAAATAATTCAATCTGTGGTTGCCGAATCCAGGATGCAGAACCCACAGATGTTGAAAAATTTTGGCAGATTATAACAATCTTTTCTGTGTGTATTTGTACTGAAGAATTCCTGTGCGTAGTTCCTGAATGAACATAAAATGAGTTTCAGTTCATTTACTGGCAAAAGAAAATGGTAGAAGAAGATTGAATATTGTATTATTCAGGTAGCTATTAACAATATCTGTTTTTTGTGGTTATGGTAAAGAATAGAAGTGTTGTTAATTTCACTTCTAAATCATATAGTCATAAACTTATGGAGCTTTTGGGGCTGGGGATTTAGCTCAGCGGCAAAGCGCCTGCCTCGCAAGCGCAAGGTCGTGAGGTTCGGTTCCTGGTACCGGAGAAAAACCAAAACCAAAAAAAAAAATTAATAAATAAACTTATGGAGCTTTTGATTTGAAAAAGAAATTAGAAACATTAAATTTTCTCTTTCCTTGTTCAGAAATAGGAAAGTGAGGCCTACAAAGTTGCAGAATTGTTTTAATATCATGTCTAAGATTAATGACATAGATTTTCTTAGTACTGTACTATGAGTTGTGCTGCCAGTTAACTTGAAGGGAATATATAATTTATAGTTCTGATACAGGATTGAGGTTTTAAATGTGTAAATTGATGAGTAAAATAATTGTATTCATTTTAATATCTTTTAGTATCTGTCAGGACTACCACGTCTGTACCTGTCTATACTAGACTACCAGATGTCTAGTACTCTGTACATTAGAAGTGTAGCAGTTTGTCTGTGATGTTAGATAACTTCTAAATTAAGAAATATGAAAATGAAACATAATATATAAAGATGAAAAATAATTGTAATTGAATAGCCCGATTCCACAAATATTGGGGAGTTATAAAATACTTGAAAACATTAATAAAACATTTGTCTTTATTACTGTACACAAAGTATATAATATTACATAAATTTTTAGTGAAGTGTTAAATTGAAATTGCAAATAACAGCAGAATGTATTTTAAAATACACCTATTAACAGTATTTTCTCCATCAGTATATTTAGTTTGAACGTAAAATATTAAAAGTGAATTTTTTGTAGTGTGCTTCCAAAGGCAGAATAGATGAATTTAAAATGGTTGTGGTAACAATGAGCTCTTACTTATTTTGACAGTACATTTGTATCTCTAAGATACCATCTGTTGCTGTGAGATTTTGCTTTGGGATTGTTATTTGGTAAAATAGTATTTGTTTTCTTGAGAAAACAAAGGCTATTAAAATATGAGAAATGAAGATATATACTACTTTAATGATTCAGACATTATTTTCATCTTTAACTATAACCTTATCACTATAACCTTAACTCAGTGTTTTAATGAACAAATTTGATTGATATCTAAAATTTATACAATACTGAATTGAGAAATTTTCTATAAAATAATCTTTATGATAGTACAGATTTTTTTAAAAATTGGTTTGCAAACATTACATTTAAAGGATAAGAAATTGAGCCTGTGTAATTTGTCTAACTTTTAATAACCTACAAAAGAAACTGATATAATACATTATAATTTTATTAGTTGATCAAAATGTGGAAATTTTATATGGTTTTGTAGAGAAACATTAGGCAATAGAGACACAATGTAAGCCACAAATGCAACTTAAAATTTTCTAGTAGCCATGTTTAAGAAAACTATGGGGGCTGGGGATTTAGCTCAGCGGCAAAGCGCCTGCCTGGCAAGCGCAACGTCGTGAGTTCAGTTCCCGGTACCGGAGAAAAACCAAAAAAAAAAAAAAAAGAAAACTATGAAACATTGCAATAAATTTTAATAAAATTTAACTAACTCAGTATACTTAAAATTTTATTATCTCAACATTTAATCACTGTAAAAGTTAACAAGATATTTCATGTCTTTTTCTGTAATAAGCCTTTGAAATTAGGTATTTTACACTTATAGCATATGTTCTGGTTGGAAAGTTAGTAATCATTGTATGCATTTAGTTTTCATAAAATTTACAGTACAACAAAGTATATTGACATAGTCAAGTTGTTCTAAAGTTCTTAAAATTTTTCCCGTGAGTGAATTAAGTATCATGGTTTAAATTTAATTTTGAATTACTGTGAAATACTTAAATTTAAAAGTTGTTTTTCATTCACATTACCTACATTTTAAATGCTCAGTAGCAACATGTGGTTAGAGGTTACTGTATTAAAAACATAATTCTAGAGATAGTTTGGCAGTATGTACTGAAGTACAGCTTATGTCTGTCTTTTGAGCTATCAATCCCACTTCTGGGAATGTAGAACTGTGAAAAGATGTGTGTAATATGATGTTCCCCAGAACACCTAAAACAAAAACAAATGGACGACAAATGAAAGAGAACACAGAATACTCCTCACCCATTAAAAATTGATGTAATAAAATTGGGATTTCTATGGTATTATGATTACATATTGACCAAAAGGCAAATAAAGTGTTGGTTTGGTTGATACTTAAGATAGTCACAGCCAGGTGAAGGCTGAAGCAGGAGGATTGCTATGAGTTTGAGGCCAGCCTGAGCTACACAACAAGAACAATAGCAAAACAATGACAACCACTACCAGCAGATAGTCACAATGCTGATTTTATTACATATAGAGCTGATTTGTCCTTTCTTAAGACTATGCTTATCACCAGTCTTGAATTTTAAAACTTTAGATAACCTACTGTCCTACTTTGTATTAGCTGTGTAACTGTCTCTTCGTGTTTTTTAAAAAAACTGCAGTGTTTTGAGGAATTCTCAAAATATCAAGCTAAGACACTGTAATAATTTAAAATCAGCTTTTCTAAAAAGTAGTGGATTCTGACCACAAAGTTGTGTCAGAAATGTTTGATATGTTTTATAAATTATGTGATGATAAGTGTGTTCTAGTTGCTTAAAGTACTCCAGAGCATTGTAGATAAATACAGCAGTACCTCGGCTCACAAGCTTAATTTGTTCCATGATGCTGGAAAAGATGGCCATGTTTGTGTTCATCACCCTATGTAGAGATCACAAACAAAAACAAAACTTTGCCAAACCAAATTGTTCACAAACAAAAGCATCCTTGAACTAAGTGCATAATGTTGGAGGAAACAGTATTTGATTTGTAAGAGATTGCCATATAATTTCTAGAAGGTGTGAAGATACTGTCACTATCTGAATTAGTTCTTTTGAGTTACAAAAATTCATAGTTCCTTGATTCTGAAAATAAGATATATTTCCCCCAGGAAGCTCAGATAGTTAATAAACATTTTAAATGATTGATATACTTCGTTATGCTGTAATAGCCATTGAAATAATCCTTTTGTTAGATTCTTATCTGTAACTATAATTAGGTTGTATTTTAACAGTAAGTTATCTTTAGAAATAATTAATTTATAATTGATACTTGAAATTTAAAGCAGTTTTCTTTAGAAACTGAAGTGTTTTGATTCTTGGCAGCCTATTGAAGACAGTTTGAAATGTAATTTATAAAGAGTCAGTGGGATTCAGCTGTCTTGGAGTCAAGGGGTTCATGTGATGCAGGAGCAAGAAGGACATGTTTGTATTTCATTTCTGTTCAGTAGGGCTCTAGGTTTTGAAAGAAGAAAATTGTCTTTGGCAACTTTTCTTTTTCCTTTTTGCAAAATATTTTATTTCCAGATCATCAGTTTTCCGAAGTGTTCTGCGTGATTTGTTTTAAAAATTGTTTTTTCATCTTTTACAGATATGAGTAAAATTAAACAAATTAGAATGTTAGTTCCTGAAAACATTGACACATACCTCATCCACATGGTAATTGAGATACTGGAATATGACCGTGATCGCACACTGTTATGCCAGCCTTCATGTGGTTCCAGCAGAAAGAGATGTTTCCCCAACTCTGAGGAGAGCTCTTCAAGTTCTAAGAGAAGCAAGGAGGAAGTAGGCACAAGTACCAAGGTGTTAATTATATGCAGAATTTTCGCAGTGTTGGTTTGTTTGGTTTGCAAGTTCTAAAGCTAAAATGCTGTGTCTTTTGAACTGTTATACATTCTAATATAAGGTTACTTTGTATGCTGCATATCCTTTGCTTTTCATAGTATGATCTGAGAAAAATGATTTTTTAAAAGAGATAGTAAAAGGGGAAGATAGTGCGTCTGTTTAGTTTATGGTATAGCATGTCCCCTTAAATTTTACCTCTGTTGGCTTTATAGCCTGGAAATTCTCTTTTTTCAAATGTGTAGTTAAGAGGTTCAAGCATATGGCAATTTATATGGTTAATGAAAACAAACTGGTTGATGTATCATTCTGTTATCATGCTTTCAGTATTATATTGAATAATTGTTGCTCATGATTCTGAGCATTTTACAATTTTTTGTATAGTCAAAGACTGAGATACAGTAATATTTTAGGGGGTATATTAAAATCAAGTGCTTGGGAAATTATTGCTTAGTGAATTATATGAGATAAATAGTTTGGAAGAATAATTATTCTTTGGCAGTATGACTCTATTAAATGATTGTATAAGTCTGAAAATTTGACCTTCAATATCTTCCAGGTCTAAAATCATGTGACTACATTATAGAAGTTATTGAGCTTTTAATGATTTGCTAGCAATTCTTTTAGTTCCTAGATAATAAACTTACTTTGGTAGTCAAGGGTTGTTAGTATTTACATTACAAGATTAGAGACTATTTTAGTTTTAAGGTAACTTTATATTTCCAAAAATTAAACTTTTTTCTGAATAGCTTTAAAAAATAATGGGACCTGGTGCTTATAAATTCTGTACTTCATGTGGTTTATCTAGACATAATACAGGAAATATTGCTGTTATTTTTGGTGAAGAAAATTTTGTGTAGTTCATTTCAATCTAAATAAAATGTGGATTTTGTTCACAGGTACATTCTAGATGACCCAGTGACATTTAATTAGTTGTAAATTTCAACTTTTTGTAATTGATCCTGTCTCAAAAACAAAACAAACAAAAAAGGTTACAATTTTATTCTAATTTAATTAAGTCTTTCTGTTGTGAGATGTGACCTTGATACTTTTCTGTTGCTCATTTTCATATAAAATGAGTTTTCCTACACTTTAAAAAGAAGACATGGGTCAGGGTGGCTTTTCCAATTTCATAGTTCTCCCCAATGTTTTTATGTAATGTTAAAATATGAAAACTTGGTTTCTGAGCTGTGCACCACTGTGTTTATTTGGCTTTCTCTTCTGTTTTGTGTCTGTTGTACCTCTTGTACTTGATTCTGGTTTAACCCCAGCATTTTTTCTTGTGTGTGGGGCCTCCTCCTGGAAGGCGGCCTTGACTAGTCAAAGTTCATGGGAGTCAGCTGCCCTAGCTGCTTCAGATGCTTAGTGGAGATTTCTTACACCTGCTGCCGTTGGGTTGGACAGAATTCCCCCATTTTCAGATGCTACTTTCACATTATTCCATGATGTTTTCCAGAGTCTATCTCTGGGCTCTTTTAGGGTTCTCTGAAGTTTGCAGATAACTCATTGCTTGGAATTTTCTCCGTGCAGATGTGTTTAGCATGCAAGCATTAATGGCTAACCATTGGTGGTTTGTTCTTGCATGCTTATCGTTTGGCTCTCCTGAAGATAGCTACAAATTTGGCTTCATTGTAAATGTAGAAGATGAGTTTTAGTTTTGCCTTCTAATTTTATCCATATTACTGCTTGGATTCATAAATGTTTAAAAACTGTCTATAGTAGGAAGTAGGATGTAGATCTTTTTTCAAATGGGAAGGAGATTAAGAGGTAGGGGGTGAGGTAAGAATTGAGATGTGTTACATACATACTAACTCCCCACGAAGAATGTAGTCATGGGTACTGCAGCTAATATACCAATAAAAAATGAAAACAGGAAAAAAAGAGAAAAGTTCAAGGTATAACTATTTTGTGTTGTATCAAACTTTTATAGGCTGATGAAAATCATCTTGATAATTTCTCACGAAAAGACAAAGGCCATGGAACCTCATTAAAAGTAGCTTCTTGGAATCAGCCACCTGTAGCTTCTTGGAATCAGCCACCTGATGATCCAGAACTAGAAGAATTATTTTCAGATTCTCATTCAAAGGTAAAAGTTGTGAAAATAGTTTTGAGGATAAATGCATTGGGCTTGCTAATAATTTTCAATTTTTTACTTATAGATGAGATTAAATGTGAATATGTTACGTGTCCCTATACATGTACATATAATCAGCAAATCAGTTAATGTTTTCTGTTCACAATTTGTTTGTTTGTTTGTTTTTTGTTTCTTTTCTGGTACCGGGAATCAAACTCACGATCTTGCACTTGCCAGGCAAGCGCTGTGCCACTGAGCTAAATCCCCAGCCCCCTCTGTTCACAATTTATCAGTAATAGTTTTGTAATATAATTTGAAGTTTGATAAAGTGATAAATAACTCCTTAAATTTTTATTATGATTGCTAGGAATTTAGTGTTGTACTGATGAAGGAAATAGACATTAGAAGATACTATTCCTACCTAGTGACCTAAACCTTGTGATTAAGATCTCTTCAGATGCTTATTGTAGAGACTCAAAAGACATACACAGTATAAATATCCTCCCCCTTCTCAGTGAAATAAGATTATTATAATTGTAGGATAAGTACTAAGGATCATATTCCATATATTATAGGAAATAAAATTTTAAATGGTATTAGCTATGTTAATGAGTGAAAAGAAAAAATCAGGATTTTTTTATATTTTGTGCATATTTTCATTTAACTCGAAATAATTTGTTGATGATATATAGTATTCCCATTTTCTGTGTGAAGAAATTAAGGTTTAACATGCATAAGATCATACATTTAGTAAGTGGATCAATTAGAATTCAAAATTAGTTCTTTGTTATTTTAAAGTCCATCTTTATTACATGATATTAAACTGCCATAAGACTAGGGGTTTCCCCTGTGTTTTCTTACTGTTTAGATGTCTAGTGTGTTTGACTCTTTGGCTTTTTTACAATTTTAACTCCTCCTGGCACGCCCCTTTAAAAGCACTCAGGGGTTCAGACTCTAATTGTAGCAGCTGTATTTATATGTGACTACAAGGAATTTGATATTAAGATCTCTTGAGAAGGATAAATGTTGCTGACCTTTTGGTGGGGGATTGCTGGGGATTGAATGAAAGGCCTTGTGCATGCATGCATGTTTTCTGTCACTGAGCTGCCCCACTGGCTCTGGACCCATTTTTTTCCCTGTAGCAAAATACTTTTTCTCTATATATCTTTCTATCTCTAACACTTGTTATTTCCTAGTCCAGTGTTATAGTATCTTTCAGTATACATAAGTCTGAGTTGTTCTTCTGACTTTCTCTTCCTTGTTTGGAAATGAATATCCAGGAACAGAGTTGCCATATCTTAGCTATTTCTTTCCTGTAGCTTTTGCAATAATGTGAGTAGCCTTTTCTTCAACATTGGATTTCTTTACTTAAGCTTGAGCAGCTAAGAGTTCTTACCCCTTTCAGTTATAAAATGTCACAGTCTTTGCCAGGAATCTTTTGCTGTTTTACTTACTTTTAAATATTTTAAAATATTATTTAACATAGAAATCATAATAAAACATAGAAAGCAATTGATAAACACTAGATAGATAGATAGATAGATAGATAAAGCCAGCATTCTTGAAATGGAAGAAATTATACTATAGTTATATCTTAGGCTGACAGCTACAGTGTAACTTAGCTAAGACTACCTTATTACATATTATGAAAGTCTTCAAATGTGTCCAATAATGACTAGATTTGAAGGAGTAATCCTATTAGAATTTCTCTGTCAGGTTATTCTGAGGATCTAGTACTGTAATTGAGTTCTTAAGTACTGTAATTGATTTCTTAAGTAATGTAATTGAGTTTATGCCATTGTAGGCTTATGCAACACTTACCTGCTTAAAATGGTTTATATTTTTCATGTACCAATGATCTGGTACCCATATAGTACCTTTGTGTTCTGAAGTCCCTTCACCACCCAGGGACTTGTAACCTGTGGTTCCGGAACTTTTTTAGTAACAAGCCTGTAAAATTGTGTGCAAAATGTTGTACATGTATTTGCCCTTGTTTTGGAAAGTAGATCTGTGGTTGTGGTTCAGCAAATTCTCAAAAGAGTCTGTCAGAGAAGAAACTTTTTTTCCACTTATTCATTTTCCGTTTATTCCATTTATGAGGCTTGTTTGTTTGTTTGAGTGTCTGCTGTGTCTTGACCGGTCTGCCAGGTCTTGATAACGACTGCACCACTTCCCTCGTCCATCTACCATTGTAGACGTTAGACAGTATATTGTGTTTTAAACGCCAAATATAATTAATTCTGAGAGTGCCTGTCTTCCTCAGAACGTTAAATTCACCATTTTTTGTTAACTCAGATCACATACATATGGGAGGCAGATGTGAAATGATCTCCAATTTTTAGCTTACCAAATGAAGATCTGGACTTACACTTCTAAGAATGCGTGGGATAGCAATTAGTTGCCTAAGTAAATGATATAGTGATTTTACTCTTTCATTTATTAACTTTTACACCTGGAAATAAATTCTGCAGATGTAACTATTTGGTTTGGTTTGGTGGGGAGGGGTGCAAGGGTGGGTATATATTCAGGGCATGTTACTTGTTTTTTTTATTTTAAAGAGAATAAAAAAATAACAAAATAACAACAACAAAGACAAAAACCAACACAAAAACAATAAAAATGATACAGGATTTCAAAAGAAAAGGTAGGAGTTAACAATGATTGTTATATTTCATATTGTTTTCTTCAGTGAAGTTGCTCAGATTACCAGATTTAAGAATGCAAGACTGAGCAAACAATTAAAGAGATAAAAAGTAAAAAAAAATTAGAAATGATACAGAGCTTTGCTAAACAAGATGGTAGGAATTTAACAATGGTTGTTATATTGCATATTGTTGCCTTCAAATTAGTTGTTCAGATTACCAGATAAAAGCATGTAAAATTGCTTAAGAAAAAAAATAACCATTAACTGTTCCTTTCAATAAACCATTAGACATCAGCAGTATAATTATCCCAGCTATCCATATATATATTATTTTTTCCCCTTTCTTTCTTTTCTCCTTTCCCTCATCCCAGTTGTTCCTTCCCTCTGAGTGGTTTCTTTCCCTTTTACAATATCTATTGTACTTTTGGGTTTTATTTACTCTTTCATGTTCTTACACTAGAGAGACAATATGATGTTTACACATGTGGGTCTGATTTATTTCACTTATGAGTATGGTTTCTAGTTGCATCCATTTACGTATAAAAGCCTCAAGTTTATCTCTTTTTATTTTTTTTTTATAGCTGAGTAATACTCCATTGTATAAAAATAACACATTTTTTTATCCATTCCTTTGTTGATGGGCATTTGGGTTGTTTCCAAGATTTAGCTATAACAAATTGCACTGCCATGTTACTTGTTTTTTCAGTGACAGATGCATGTGACTTTGTTTGCAATTGTCATACATTTTCAGTAGGAAAAATACTTATTTTTTTTTCTGTTTTCTATAGATGTCACCTGAAACCTCAAAGAGAAACTTACCTGAGTGGTTTACCCAAGGAAATGAACCCGTAGCTAATACCAGCAAGAAACTAGTGACCAAAACAAAAAAGAAAGGTCTTTTTAGTTAAGTTGGCAATTACCAGAATAATTTTATGTATCTTACTGTTTTATAGAAGCTATATTTTATTTCTGAAAGGAGAAGTAATTCTATCTTAAAAATTATTTCAATCCCAAAGTAAAACTCACCTATATATTAAAGGACCAGCATCTTAAATCAACCTTCTATAGTTCAGATAAACTCTTTGGGTCTTCTAAGAACCTATGTGTTTATATCATACAATAATAGAATATTCAATTAGATTTCCTTCAAATTACTTTCAGGAACTCTGTTACTGCCCCATTTTTTAATCTCTTTGTTTATTGCAAAAATATATTTGGAAAATGTAATGTGTGAAATTTAATAAAAATAACACATTAGTTGTGTAGTGACTGTAGGATATAAAATATTCTTGCACTTTGTCTTGTAAGAAAGCACAGTTATTTTACAAATTGTCTTTCAAAGCAGTTTTTATAGGCTTTGTTAGATATTATTAATTACCCAGGTCAATGAAAATAAAACAACATTTTGAATTTCATTAAGTGGGGAAAAAGACTGTAATTTAAAGGTATTCTAATTGTGATAGGCAGCTATGCAATTTGTATTTTCTATACAAGTTCTATTATTTTTCAAATAGTAAAACAATGTCTTTTCTACTGAATATTATAAAGATACATGTAGTGTATTTTCACTTACTTAATTCAAGTACCTTTATTATTTGCAGATGTCAGAATTTGGTTTTATTTTTTCTTATGTAGCACAAATAAATATCTGAAACTCGTACTCTGACTTAGAATTGCATTAACCATGGTTGTAACTTTAAGCAGTTTGCCGTATAGTTTGTACATTCCACAACCTTTAATTAACTTTTCTGTAAATTAAAATAACTTGTTAATAAAGAAATACAAGTTTGTCACAGAAGAACTAGCAATCCAAAGAGGTAAAGAAAACAAACCACCGTGATCACCCGTAGTTCCATTAGCAAATAATCAGTCAGTCCTTCTGTGTATCTTGTCAAACCTTCACATATTAACTGATTTTTTTTTTAGTTTGTTACATTGAATTTTTATTGTAAAACATTCAAGCTCTACTTAAAATGTAAAAGCCCTCTGTATTCTCATTTTTCTACATCTATGTATTTCTTCTGCATTCCGATGCCTTTGTTCTTATATCTACAATATGTGCATCAGTGTTAGGCGGACAAAGTGGCAGGTATGTAGAAGGCGCTTCCTGTGTGCCAAAGTATGATCATCGTCTCCAGGAAGCGTGCGCTTTTGATTGTGAATGGAATTTTTTTTACATGGGGTGCATTTTTATTGAAGAAAAAATTGATAGAAGACTGCTTGGTTATTTAGACTTGGGTATTTGACAGAAATTTTCTCAAAATTGAAGTTGTGCTCTTGCTTCAAGGTAAATATCTTAAGGTATTTATTGGCAATAATAAGGATAGAGATTTTTAGCAAAATTTGTGATTTTGGAAAACTGTCACTGTGAACTTGCCAGCTTTCCTTAACCTAAAAACTTTTCTAATGAGATTAAGAATAATAATTAACATTTTTTTTTATATTATGTAAAGTTTTACTTATATTTGGATTATTTATATAACTCGATGAATGAATATTTTCTGGATGACTAATTCATATTACACCATCATGCATGGATAAAAGATGGACCCATGGATTTAAATTGCAGATGAGTTCAGAAAGGTTAATTGGTGTGGTTTCAGATTATGCACTGCAGCTCATCTTTAAGAAACGAACTACATACTTGTGTGAATATGGATGTCTTCATATACCTCAGTCAAAAGGGCACATCAAAATAGACTGAATGCAGAAGCAGATCTGAGAATCCAGCCATTTCTGTTAACCTGGACAGAAGGAGTTGCAAAACTGAAATAATGCCACTCTTGTCAGGATATTTTTAAATGTGATTTTTAAAAGAAATTTATGTTAACATGTAATGAGTTTGCTATTTAAGCAAATTAATAAATACTTTTAAAATTCCTTGCATTTAATTTCTAACATGGTAAACGGGTAGACGTAACTCACATTAACAGATGCTCTTTGGGATCCTCAATAAATTTTAAAAGGTGAGCGGTGCTGTAACCTGGGAGTGGAGAATTGTTGATTTCTAATATAGTATTATACTAGGAATTATTTAACTGACTTCATATTGGTGGTCACTGAAATTGCTTCCTTTTTTTGCTGTTTTAAACAGCCCTGTTTTGAACATTCTTGAAACAACACATAGCATCGTCTCATGCCAGATACCTAGCCAGAGGGAGAGAGTCTTTTTGTAGTAGACTTTATGCCTTCTCAGCATCAGTTCTCTCTCCCCATTTGCTGTTTCTGTTTGTGCTGGTTTAAGGGGGATAATTCCAACCCGATATGGGACTGGCACCCATGACCTCATCTAAGTAGATTCTTGGCAACAGCTTTAGATCTAGGGTAGTATGTGGCCCGAGGTGTCACTGAAGTGCCGAAGCAAATACATTCCATTCTCTTTGTCACTTACGAGGAGCTGTTGGTGTACTTTTAGCACCATGAAAAATCATTCTGCAGTGAAGCTGACACTGAAGTGTGCAGAGAAGAAACATGGGAAGAAAGGTTGTTGGTGACATTGCTCACCTGCTGGTTATGGCTTTCTTGAAATCAGTCCTCCCTTTGAATACTTCAGGTAAGTGGGGCAGTTTACTTTTGGTAAACCTGTTTGAATAAAGTTTTGTTTTGTTTTTAACTTCTAGTGGTGTTCAGCTGTCACAGCCGTACAGTGATGTGTTGGTACTTGATAGAAAGATGTCAGAGAAAATAGTTTCTTTAGGGCAAAGAATATGGAATCTCAGAGGGGGTGGGTTACACCAAGTAGAAGACAAAGCAGCATGCTCCCAGGTGGTAGTATAGACGTCTCAGATCCCCAGGTTCTCTAGGAGTTCCCACGGGTCCTTTGAATTTCCCCAGTGGCCCTTCCTCATTCATTCTCTCCACCTGAGTGTGCTTTGGCAGCCCTGGCTACACCAGGTGTAAATAATTGGTAGAAAATGACCTCAGCACATTATGTGCAGTAAGAATAGGTGGACTGAAGGATGATTCCCCAAGTGTAGCATCATCTTTCAGCATTCACAGGCCTCTAGTTTGCCTCATGTTTGTTCTTACAAAACCAAGAATTTTCTTCTAGGGCCTGGTTATTATTCTATCTCACCCAGAAAATACTAATTACTTTTTCCTCTGTATTATTTGACATTTGACCATAAAACTGGTCAGGCAGCATCAGAAGAAGACCTGATAGTTATTTAGAATTCAAAGAACTGTAGCCCTACCAATTGTTAGAATAAGACTGCAGAATACTTCCTAGTCAGATGAGTAGCATAAAATTAAGCATGAAGGATCCAGTGGAATGACCTTAAAGTAGCTTTAGAGCTAAATAGACATTTAATCCTTATGGGAAACAGTAAAGTTCAAAACCACAAACACACCGAAGGTTAGTCCAGTCTTGGTGAGGCTGCAGATTGCAGCTGTCTGAGAAGATGTCCCCAAGATTTTGGTTGGGAAGGCAATATAAAACTCAGGGTAGCACTTTTTCTTTTTCCTTACTGGCTGAATGTATTTAAACACCTTCTCAGAAAAAATTATTTTTCAGAAAAAATTGATAAAATTTATTCTTACATGGAGTTTCATTTCTAACTCAATTTATAAAAAATACTGAATAGTATGCGCTCTTATGTCTTTATTCAATAGAGATTTGCATGTGTAGTTCACAGTTCTGGGTGGCCTCATAAAAGATAATGGAGTTTGTGATGTTGGTATGCTGCTATTGTTCTTTTTTTTTCTTTTACTACTCTCTTTAAAAGAAAAAAAAGAATGGAAAAGGAAGAAAGTACAACATGGGTCCCATGCTGAAGGCAGGGAAAGATTGATTCTGTGGCAAATCATTAAAAAATCTGACAAAAATATTCCCACAGGAAACAAAATATTTTTTTTACAGCACCAAATCATTTTACTACTGTCAACCCATATTTTTTTTTCAATCTATTCCTACATTTTTGGAATATATGTGATTCTTCAATGAATCACCTACAGAAAACTGTTTCTGATTCTCACTGACCTCAAACTGAATAACAGGTTATTTTGTGCGCTAATCACTGTCTAATTAAGAAAAAGACAGTGAACCAACATTACATCATGATTGTTTCTTTACATTAAAAAATGGACAAAAAATTTTTCTTAGGGTGAAAAAATTCATTTGATTTTTTACAAACATGTTTGTCACTAGTCATTATCAAATACTTTGTTATATAATAAAATGCAACTAAGAACACTACCCAAGAAGACAGTAATAATGGTTGATGATGACATGGATAAACACAAAACCAGATATTAAAAATATAAAATCAATACCGACACTGTAAAGCAATGACTACCTGTAGGAAACAAAATATTTTTAAAAAAACATTTTGCATAAGCTGTAAGAAAATATTGGCTTGTGAAAGAAAAACAGGAGATCATATGAAGAAATAATAGCTTTTACAACTGGTAACTTCTTAAGTATTTCCTATATTTTTGTTAACCTAACCCTCAGTACAACCTAAAGAGGTAGAGTAATGCACTTGTCTGTGGGAAACAGAAGATAGAAACAAGAAATCACAAGATGAATGTTACCAGGTAAGTTTAGAGCAAGTGAGCTTCCCTTATTTTCTTTAATTTGACTAAAAATTGGTAGCAGGAGAAACCAAATATCTCAAATTCTATTTAGAGTGCTTCTAGCTATTGGGATGAAAATATCTTTTTAGCAAAGCTGGTGCTATCCCCTCTTCCTGTGGGGTGGGGCAAGAACTTAACCGTTTATCCTCTCGTTCCCATGAGAGGAGGTATTCTACTCCCTCTTCCTAGAAGACTAGGTGCTGAAACAACTTAGTAGGTTAAGAAGTATGGCTTATCTCTGGAAGCCTCAGACCTGCTGATCCAGCAGAGTCTGCATGCATCTGGGGCTGGGAGATAGGATGGGCTGAGAGTGTAGGTGCACAAGGGGCGACCATATGTCAGAGTGAGGCCACAGGAGCTTTCTAGGGGTTAAAGGCCATCCTTACGGTACAGTCTGTGTAGAAGAGGGCTGCGTGATGGTGAGTTGCATCCTACTAGCAAGACCCCCACTGATAGCAGGCTAGATCTTCTGAAAAACTGACTAATGCACCCCAAAGAGGCAGCATATACATGTACCCAATGCACTGCATGGCTTCCTGTCAGACAAGGAAGCAACCGCTGCCAGAAGAAAGGCTGCATGATTTTATTTTTCCTTCCCGTCTTTGGAATCCCAACTCTAAAGTGGAAGTGCGTAGAAGAGGGAGGAGGTGTGAAAGAGGCAAATGAGACTAGCTGTCTAGCTGGACCTGGGTGGGTGTTGAGGAGAACTTTGAATCAGATAGGTTCTTAAGACGTAAGAACTAAAGTAAAGACAAAGTATTCTACTCCCTCTTCCTAGAAGACAAGGTGCTGGTCCCAAGGTGAATTCTCAGCAATGGAGAATTCTGGACTGAGATATAAATGGAGCCACTACTTATTGGAAAAGGAAGATTTGACATTTGTAGCAGTTATCATAACCATCATATCCACCCATTAGTTTATGTTTGTAGGAGCAAAAAGAAGTTGGCATTGAAACCATCCTAATCACTTTTAAAATTTTTCATTAGAACGTGTTTGCAGTGTGTAATAACTACATTCCTTGTGGGGAGTTGTACAGGTACATTAAGGTCGGTATCTTAGTTCTTTTCTCATCATTTTCTCCTCCCTCATTTCCCCCTTTCTCCATCCCTTAATTTCCTTCCACTTTGCAAAAGACCTATCTCCCTATTTCTTATTATCTATCTTCTATTTTGCTCTTTATTTTAATTCTAGGTTTCTCATATAAGAGAAACCATGTGATATTTAAGCTTGGGTGTCTAATTTATTTCACTTAGCATTATGGCCCCAAGGTGCATTCATCCATTTTCCTACAGATGACTCAAGTTGATCCTTCTTTATGACAGAGCAATACTTTATTGTGTGTAAATACCTTTATCCATTCATATCCATTATCCATTCCTTTATCCAGTCATATATTTATCCTTTATCCATTCATATATTCATATATCCATTCAGATATTGATGGACATATATGCTGCTTCCAAGATTTACCTGTAATGAATTGTGCCACTGTAAATATGGGTATGTGTGTATCACTGTAATATGTTATCTTTAACTCTTCTAGGATGGTACCTACATGGGAGATAGCTGGGTCAAATGGAATTTCTATGTTTAGTTTTCTGAGGAATCTTGATATTTATGTAGTGGTTGTACTAGCTTCACAATCTCACTGGGATTATAGAACAACTCCCTCCACAGCCTCACCAGCTTTAGTTATTATTCGATTTCTTGTTGATAGCCGTTCTTTCTGTAGTAAGATGTAGTCTCTGTTGTTTTAATTTGCATTTCTCTAATGGCCAGAGATGTTGAACATTTTTTCATCTACTTATTGGCCATATGTACTTTTTCTTCTGAGAAATGTCTGTTCATTTCAGTTGCCCAGTTTTTGTTGCATTTTTTATTTTTGAGGGCGTCAATGAAAGGATGTTAGATTTTGTCAGGCTTTTTCTTTGTCTATTGAGATGATCATAGGCTTTTAGTGCTTGATTTTCTTTATGTGATGAATTACATTTATTGATTTGCATGTGTTGAACCATCATTGCATGCTACTTGGCCATGAGGTATGATCTTCTTTGATGATTCATTGCATTGTGTTCCCCAGTATCTTGTTGAAGATTTTTACATCTATGTTCATTAAAGACATTGGCATGTAGTACTTTTGGTTGGATCCTTGTCTGGTTTTGGAATCCAGGTAATGCCAACTTCCTTTGGGACTACTCCATTCTTTCCAGTATCATTCAGTGTTGTCATTAGATTTTCCCTGAAGTTCTTGTAGCATTTGGCCGTAAATCCATTGAGCCCTGAGTTTTTCTTAGTAAATTTATTAC